GTGCGCGCTGTGCGCACTCTTTTCTCGTGCGCACGTAAGGAAAATGCCCACTCTTTTTTCAAATTTTGTACAGGAAATTGCGCTCTCTTTCTAACAACAGGAAAATGCGCACGGTTATCAAATCCTGTTCTTTCGGATTATTTGAAGTTGATATAACTGATTTTTCAGAATTCATCTTTTTCAATAATAATACCAGGCGGTCACTAGACTGGTCAGACTGATTTACCTTTCACGTGATAATGTGTTTTTTTTTTAAATTTTGGAATGTTATTTTCCGAAGAAAGCCACAGTCGGCGTTTATAGTTTGTTCAGAATTTGAATGTCAAGTCATCGGTCGAACTCCGCCTCTTATGTGTAGATCAAACCAATCAGAGAACGAGCCACTCACAGGCTTTGTTTGGGGGCAGAGATTGCTGCTTGAAACTCAAAAACATGGACAAACTATATTATAAAAGGGAAATATGTGAAATACAAATCGAAAGGACCTTTCGAGGTTCAAAAATATTTCTGAAGAAAATTTACAGGGTGATGAATTATTACTGCGACAAAAATGAAGGAGCTGTCAATATGTCAATTGTCAATAGTCAATAAAGACCGGAAACTCACAATTATTTTTTTTATAAAGTTTTACAGGGATTTAATCAAAAAAATTAACATGAACTGCCGCTCGAAAATGTAGTGGCACCCAATTGACTGCGGTACGCAGATGGTCGAAAATCAGTTTTGTCACAGTTTTTTTGAGCAGAACGGCCAAAAGTCAGTAGGCAAACTGGTGTGTACTGTTACAAGAGGCACATTGAAGTTTCTCAAAAAAATTTTTGGAGTCAATGGGATAACAGAAAAAAAGCACAAAAACTCCATTCTTCTAACCGGATAAGACCTTTTTTTCGATAAGGACTCGAAAATTGGTTTTGAGCTGACTAGGGAACTACGCGAACTCGCATTCAAGGATCGAGTTCAAACTTTGGTGGCTTATAGACCCGGGTAAAAGTACTTGGAAACAAGAGAGATTATCTGCTAAATCCTATAGACTTCTGAGAAAACTATTTTTGAAAATGAACAGTTTAGGCTTGAAAACTATCAAATTTTTGCTTTCCTCCTTCTTTTGGCTGGAAAAAAGTTTTTTAGTGTTTATCATAGCCGGATCATTCAAGGCGATTTTATTAAAATATTAAATAAGGTAAAAAGCAGTATTCTGAAAATTTTCAGGTCTAATTTTCACATTTTCTACTAATTTTTTCTCAGTTCTCTATTGGGTTTAGCAGATATTCTCACTTGTTTTCAAGTGTTTTCACTCTATAAACCACTAAAGTTTGAACTCGATCCGCGTACCCGAGTCCGAGTAGTTCCCTAGTAAGTAAGGGTACTTAAAAACAGGCAATACTATCTGCTAAACCCCATAAGGTACTGAGAAAAAAGGTACACACCTTTCAAATTATCTTGTTTACTGCTCTCTGAGTTGACCTCATCTCTTACAGAGACTAGCTATATCTGAGCTATCTCGGAGGTACTTTTAGAGTCTCCCCTCAAGTCTATCTCATTTTTGCTCAAAGTCCTCAGAGGTATACTTGGGTTACCATCGATAGGCTTCAGACCCTGCGATATGCCTCAGAGGGTCTCGCGATACCCTTTTTCTCTATTTTTTTCGGAAAAACAATTCCTTCAATTTTTTTGCGACTTCTTTTTAATTGCTTACATAGACGTGAATCGTTATCAATTTCGAGAATCGAAACCTTAAAAGTACGTTCAAATTGAGCTTCAGGGCGACCTTATCGAATAATTTCTGAACGTCGCAATAAACTCCCTCTCATACGGCCTTGATGCGTAATGAAGTAACTTTGAGTCAAGATTTTTTTTTCCAGTGTTGTACTTGGCTGTAAAAATCACTGAAAAAATTTTTTGGTGGTTCGGCCCGGCCCAAAAAGCTCAAATTTTCTTCATTTCGAATTTTTAGCTGTTTTAACGAGAAAAGCGGGGTTTTTGCTTATTTTTCTTCATTGAGTTATTAAAAAATGTGATTCAACATGTAAAAATATTTTTTCGGTGAAAATGTTTTTAATGAAATAAAAAAGTTTCTTGAATCTCTGGCCCGAGCCCGCGCTTTTTTTTCGAAATTAAAAAAAATCAAGTCCTAGGGGGCTTTAGGCCTTCATAGCCAAGCCTGCCTGCCTTGCCATAAACGCCCAAAAGGCAGAAACGACTTTTCCGAAAGTCAGCGTGGCATCATCATATTATAGAAGAAGGCTTGATGAAGGTAGGAATAATGACTGGAACAAAAATGAGCTCGGGTCGGCGAGAGCAAATGCTAAAAAACTTTTGTCGCAGTAATTATTCCTCCACTCTGTATTGTTTAATGTTATCAGATGGAAAAGATCTGTATATTTTGAGAGCATCTCACTTTTTAGCAGATTTTCGCGGCAGCTTTTGAGACCAAGCTTGGAATCAGCTTGGTCTCAAAAGAGAGCATCCACTTTTTGCATAACTACACCTGGTCTCATTCCGAAGTGACCGCAGACCATTCCTGATAAGAAATATTCTCCATAAATTATCAAATAATCAAAAAGATGTTCAATTCATCTTTAGCTGAAAGATTTCTTCATGACAAAGAGAAAAAGTGAGATGGTTTATGTGGACTTCAATCTAGAAAAAAGCGCAATTTGATAACCGTGCGCATTTTCCTGATGTTAGAAAGAGAGCGCAATTTCCTGTACAAAATTTGAAAAAAAGAGTGCGCATTTTCCTTACGTGCGCACGAGAAAAGAGTGCGCACAGCGCGCACTTTCCAGCATGCCAATTTTTTATTTTGCTTTGAGGGTAGAATTTTGGTTCAATACAATAATATTTTTGAATTTGGGTTTTTGTAAATATCGAGTTTTATGCCTTTTGAATGATTTTTTGGCGCTCTCTTACAAGTTTCTAACACTTTTATTTATTGAGCTCAGATCGAGTTTTTTTTTTTTAGAAACTATAGAAAATCGATAAGTCTTTGATTTTTTCATATTGAAACTCTTTACAGATCTCCGTCTCGGCTTGTCAAAATGTCTCAGTTCCCGATAACTATTGCTCCTATCCGAGAAGGCTTCAAAGGACGATCCGAACGAAGAAATTGCGTGAGTTTTTTTGGGGGAAAAAAATGTTGATTTTTTTCACAAATTTTAACAAGATTGACGGTTTTTCCTAAAAAGTCATCAATCATTCAAATTTTTCCTTTTTTTCAAAAGTTTTTTTAATCGGTCAGAACTTTCAAAAATTATTATTTTAGCCAAATTTGGAAATTCGCTTTGAAAAAGCTCGATTTGATCTCAGGAATTAGTAGAAAAAAATAATGCGATTCAAAAAAATAAATGTGAAGTAGTGCAGTTCCTACAGAAAAATACGAAAAAAGACTTTTCTAACACAGTTTTCTTGTATGGAGTTTGAACTTTCTGAAATTTTGGGATAAGTTTCGTTTGTACCACTCCGTAGGAACTGCAGTTTGCAGAAAAAAAGTGGATTTATAAAATTTTTAAAATATTGAGCTCCATAAGAGAAAAATATGGAAAAAAAAAGAAAATATTTTCGTATTTTTTCTGACGGTACTAAATTTTTTGCTAACGGAGTGGGTTCTGAACCGCCTAGAGCTTTCAGTAAAAAAAAATAATTCCAGCCGAAGTCGACGAAGTGAGGAACGAGACGATCCGCATCGAGAAGCTCAACTCGACGACCTCCACCGTCAGAATCACCTGGCAGCCGCCGGAACAGCCCAACGGCGGGGCGATCGGCTACAAAGTCACTCTGGTGAACACTCTCGTCGAATCGGTACCCTTTTCAAGACGTCATTTGGAGTTTCGAAACGGAAAAAATGGGAAAAAAAGGCTTTTTCAAAATGGATTTTTGGTTATATTCATGCACTATAGAATGAGAAATTATCAGATTTTCGATTTTTTTATGGGTTTTTGCCTTGAAAAATAGAAAAAGGACTTTAAAAAATGGTTTTTTGGGTGATTTTCTGTTGTATTAGTGCATTAGGAAACAAAAAAAGGACAGAAAAAAATATTTTTTTATCAGTTTTTTTCATGAATAGTTGCTTCGAAAATGGAAAAAGGCGTTTTTAAATCTGATTTTTTTGTTCGATTCTCTGTTGTATTGGTGCACTATAAAACAAGAATATATCAGATTTTCATCAAATTTTCAATTTTTATGGGTTTTTGCTTTGAAAATAGAGAAAAAGAACTTTTAAAAATGGATTTTCATCAGTTTTTTGTTGTGTTAATGCATTATGAGCCAAGAAAATTCTAATTTTTGTTTGATTTTTGGAATTCCAAGCCCCATTTACACGAAAAATGCTGAAAATCTTAGAATTTTTGGATTATATATAACTGAAAAACTCCGTTTTTCTCTTTAAAACTCTCTTTTTCCTCATTTTTCGCGACATTTTTTAGACATTTTACTCATTTATTTACGTTTTCAGGCACCCCATCACGTTTGCCAAAGCGCCTATGATGGAAATTGGACGGCGGCCAACGACGGAATCCTGTTCAAGGGCCTGGCCGATGGAAATTATCGGTACGGATCCAATTTTCATCCTTCCAAGAACTGCGAAAAATGTTTAGATTAGGTTCCGGTTTCAAATGTGGTACGAAATCATTTGAAAACTAATTCTGCCGCTATACAACGCTTTTTAAGATCTGAATTTTATCACTGATCTAATCTATTTTTTAGTGGCCACTGTAGAGGTCTGAGTGCTACTACTGTACCACTAAAAATTTTAGTGGCCGCTTTAGGAATCAATGAATCAACATAACTGGTCCAATCTGTTTGTTTTAAAGTTATCAGAATTACTGAAAGGAATACTGGATGAAAAACTACTAAAGTGGCCACTAAAACGGAAAATAGTGGCCACTATAGAGGTGGATTTAGTGGCCCCTTTAGTGTCCTCTCCAAGTAGTCCTTGGTGAGCCTCTACAGTGGCCACTAAAAATTTTTTCTCAGTCATTTTTAAAGGTTAAAATGAATCGGAATTCAGATAATATTAATTGATGACCTGAAAAATTGATAAAGAGATATGAAAAATCATTATTTAATGAAAATTGCAGCGTCGAACTTCGTACCATTTCCATGGCCGGCCTCTCCGCGCCGACCGTCAGCGAAGAGACTTTCAACATTTATACCCCCCGGATTCTGGACCCTCAAGGTAAAAATTTAGAAGAAGAAATGTCAAAAAAATCTAACCTTATGTAGCAATTTTTTTGACAAGAAACCTTGGAAAAAAATCTTAAAAAAATGTTTTTCTCAAAAAAATCTTCTTTTTTTCGATGGGATTTTGACGGGAAGAGTCAGAAGTTTGTCAGAAAAATTATTAAAGTTCTAGAGAATTTTTATTGCTCTGAAATTTTTTTTCCTTGAAATTCTTGAATTTTTTTCCTTTTCCTACGTCAAGTTTTGATAGAAAATAGTAAAAAAATGTGAAGTTTTTCGTTCAAAAAAAGATCTTTTTGGATCAAATTTTTGGCGAGAAAAAAAGTTAATAAAAGGAATTTTTTTCAGAAAAATTTATGCCTCCCTAGCTTTTTCGAACTTTTTTTCCTCACAATTTTCGAAAAAAATTGTCCTTTTTCTGCTTCAAAAATCTGAAAAACCGAAGCGAAAAAGAATTTTTTTGCGGAACATTTTAATCGCCGTGACTCATTTTTTTCTTTAAAAAAATCTAAAAGTTACTCTTTTTTTCTGCACCGAGTTTAAACAGAGAATGTTGAAAATTTTTAAAAATCGTATCAAATTCGGAGGGAAAAGAGTAATTCGAAATCTTTTCTAGAAGATTTTCATCTCCCTAGATCTTCTAGGTCTTTTTTCAACTCAACTTTTGAAAAATACACCTTTTTCTGCTTAAAAACCTGAAAATGAAAGTGAAAAGAATATTTTCCAGAACATTTTCATCGCCCTGGTCCATATTATTTTTCAAATCTCAAAAATTCTCCTTTTTCTGTATCAAGTTCTAACAGAAAATGTTGAAAAATGTGAGTTTTCGTCCAAAAATCGTATCAAATTTTGTCGAGAAAATAGTTTTGAAAAAATTTAGTCAGCAGATTTTCATCGTCCTAGCTTTTCTAGCTCCTTTTTCTTCACACTTTTCAAAAAATCAACTCATTTCTGCTTCATAACCTGAAAACCGAACCGAAAAGAACGATTTCCAGAACATTTTCATCGCCCTGGCCTGCCTGATCCTGTTCCTACTGATCGCCGGCACGATCGCCTACTACTTTGTCCGCAAATACTACGGCGCCAAGGTCAAGGAGTACGCGACGCAGTTGATCTCCGCCAATCCCGACTACCTCTCCCAACAAGACGTCTACAAGCCCGACGAGTGGGAACTTAAGCGGTCTGACGTCACCATTCAGGAGGAGATCGGCCACGGAACCTTTGGCAGTGTCAGTTTTTTTTCTCGGGGAAAAATTGAGGAAATTGATTTTTCTGTGAAGAGAATAGGTGGAAAATTCGAAAGTCTTCAATTTTGAGATTTTAAAAATGATAGAAAATTCTTCTTAGGATCCCCAAAGTGGTCCCTATAGGGGCAACCTTAGGAACCACTTTACTAGCCTCTATAGGGGCCCCTAAGCTTGCGAAAGTGGTCCCTATAGGGGACATTCTAGTCGACATTTTCTATTAAGTCTATGCGAAGAAGCATTTCCATTGGAAAATCTGAATTTTTGAATAAAATGGTAAGATCCCTATAGGGACCACTTTTCGGCCCCTACAGGAGCTATTTTTCCCTCGAACTCCTATAGGGATCACTCTGAAGCTCCTAACTTGATTGAAGCAAAACAAATCATTTGAAAAAATAATTTGAAAATTTTTTTCTGTAGAGTTTGAAAGCAATGGAACAGGAAATGCTTTTCGAATTTTTCGAGAAAAATAAGGTGGAAGATGGAAATTTAATGGAATAAGGATGAGAAGAGGATTTTCTTTTTTTTTTGTTTTTTGTAGTTTCCTTATAGGAGAAGGAACGAAAATAGGACAGTAATTGTATTTTTGAGCCGGGAAACTTGGATCAAAACCCGTGAGATGAATTTTATCGAAAAAAATAAGAGGAAAATAGAAAATGAAGCTTTTTTTGACTTTGACGCAGTGCGACTTCTGAATGAGCACTAGATGTAGTTTGGAGGCTCATAACTTTCTTCACAGACCTCTGAGGAAGTTTTTGAGGCCAGATTTGGAATCAGCGTGAAAAGTTGCACATAGTAAAGTTCGTTTTTCGCGACTTCTCTGCACCCTCCTCGTCTCTCGACCTTTCTCTCATTTTTACGTGCTATTTCCATGTTTCTCTGACCTTGCCGGTGAGAGAACAGAGAGACGCAGACACATGGAAACTGTCAAGGATGGGCTATAAATTGTGTCTCATTCAGAAGTCCCACTCTGAGAGAATATCATTCCCTAATTGGAGGGGGGAATATTTCATCAATCATCTCGGATTTCCAGGTCTTCCGCGGCCTCGGCAACAACGTCACGTCCCAGTGTGGAGTCACCTTCGGAACTTGTGCGATTAAAACAGTCACCGACGCGGCCAACAACGCGGAACGTCTTCATTTCCTGCTTGGTATCCAGTAGAATCAATCCAATCAACTTGATTGTTTTCCAGAAGCCCACGTGATGAAGACGTTCAACTCCTCGTTCATCGTCAAGCTGTACGGAGTCGTTTCAGACGGACAGCCGGTCCTCGTCGTCATGGAGATGATGGCCAAGGTGATTACTTCAGTGAAATTTCTGAAATACCAAAAAATGGAGATGATTGAAAATAGGATTTTTGTATGTAGTGAAACATGAAATTTTTCTTTTTAAAACTGGAGATGACCAAAATTTTGGTTTCAGGACAGTTTTATCCTAAACATGAATTTTTCCACCCTACTTCTTCCAAAAATGTAGGTGATCAAAATTATGACGTTTCAGGCCACTTTTCTATGCAGTTAAACAGAAAAATTTTCATCTTAACCTTTCAAAAACTGTAGATGATCAAAATTATGACCTTTCAGGGACCTTTTCTATGTGTTTAAACACAAAGTTTTCCATCCTGACCTTTCTTAAAATGTAGATGATCAAAATTATGATGTTTCAGGCCACTTTTCTATGCAGTTAAACAGAAAATTTTCCATCTAAACTTTTCTTAAAATGTTGATGATCAAAATCATGTCCTTTCAGGGCAACCTCCGTGATTACCTCCGTTCCCGAAGGCCCGGCGCCGACGAAAATAAAGAAAACCTGCCGGTCCCCACGAAAGAGCAGTACTACGAATGGGCGGCACAAATCGCCGACGGAATGGCCTACCTGGAATCGATCAAGTTCTGCCATCGGGACCTCGCCGCCCGAAACTGCATGGTGCACGCCAACGACGAGGTCAAGATCGGCGACTTCGGAATGGCCCGCGACCTCTACTACCACGAGTACTACAAGCCGACCGGCAAACGGCTCATGCCCGTCCGATGGATGGCCCCGGAATCCCTGAAAGACGGCAAGTTCGACTCCAAGTCCGACATCTGGTCCTACGGAATCGTCCTCTACGAGATGCTCACCCTCGGCCAGCAGCCATATCAAGGCCTCGGCAACGAGGACATCCTCGAGTTCATCGGCATGTCCCGCAAGGTCCTGGAACGGCCCCAGGAATGTCCCGAATATTGGTGCGTTTTTGGAGACTTTTTTTTCAGAGAATTCGACTGAATTTGAGTGAAAAATGAGCTGAAATTTATGTACTCAAGACCTCCAGAGTAATCCCTATAGGGGCCCTTGTAGGTCCCCTCTAGGGAACACTTTACCAACCCCTATAGAGGTCGATAATTTTTATAAACTCTATGCGAAAAAGGATTAATGAAGTTGAAAGACTCCTATAGAGACCACTTAAGAAGTTGAAAGACCCCTATAGAGACCACTTAAGAAGTTGAAAGACCCCTATAGAGACCACTTAAGAAGTTTAAAGATCCCTATAGGGTCCACTTGAGCTTTAGAGACTAAGGGGTCAGACCCTAAACCCCTATAGGGTCTACCTTAACTTTACCCCTATAGGGACCACTTTTTTGGCCCCTATGAGTGTTTTTTTCTCTCCTAAGCCCTAGAGGAACCACTCTGGAATTCCTGAGTAACTCGAACAAAACTTGAAATTTTTTTCCGCGTATCGTCGAGTTTACGCATGTAGTTTCGTGACGACGATAATGCTCGAAAAAAAAAATGATTCTTTACAGTTGAACAGCACTGAATTCCGACTCTGACCCCCTTTTTGCAGGTACCAAGTGATGCGGCTCTGCTGGAAATATCAGCCCCGAGAACGGCCGACCTTCTCGCAGTTGGTCCGCGTCTTGGCCCCGCACACGTCCCAGAAGTTCCATGAGGTATCTTTTGAAAAATCCAATCGAAGGCAAGCAGAAGAAGAAGAGACTTCTAGGATCATTATCTTGTACATCAAGAAGTGTTCTGCCCAATTTTCAGAAAATTCCCAACCTCCCCTCTGAAACAATCATACGTTGCAGCTCTCATCGGTGATGAACTCGGACTACGACCTTAACGAGGAGCTCCCGATGATCGAGGGCGACTCGGACGAGGAGGAGGACGACTACGTCGAAGAGCCGGCCTACGTCCAGGAGCCCGGCCGCGCCGGCCAGGCCATCCAGATGCGGGAGTTCAAGAAGAACTCGAGGATCTCCCTCCTGCCGGACGGCGACCAGGAGACCGACGCCGCCGACTACATGCGTCAGGACTTGAGCTCACAGGTCAGTTCTCAGCGAAATTTGGGAAAATAGATTAAGTTTTTTGAGCTCTCATTGTGAGCACACTAACTGCACAAGGTCTTCTTTACATAGATTTTGAAAAGCTCCGCCCCTTTTTAGGGTTACGGTAGGATACGGTTTTTTTTGCGGTACGGTTGAACACACGTTCTCCCAGAAACCGTTGATACCAAAATTTTAAATTTCAGATTGGGTTTTCGGAGCTTATAGTCACACTAACTACATATGGTCTTGAAAATTTTGCATAGGATTTAGACAGGCTCCGCCCCCTTTTTAGGGTTACGGTAGGTTTTAAAGGCGCATAGGTAAATGCCGAATAAAATTTAGTTGATGCTTTGACAGGCTCCGCCCCTTTTTTTAGGGATACGGTAACTTTTAAAGGCGCATAGGTAAACACCAAAAAATGTAGTTGAGGCTTTGAGAGGCTCCGCCCCTTTTTAGGGTTACGGTAGCCTAAATATGAATAAATATAATTTTTTTTCTCCGTCGTCCAAGATCATATATTTAAAGGCGCATAGGCATAATTATTAGAGGTTTTTTTAAGCGAAAAGCCGTTTTTATAGTCATTTCAAATTTTGGATTTTTTTTCAGAAGACTATTTCGAGGCTCAGAAAAAATAAGTCCCCTTACAAGTTTCAGAATGGAGAAAGAATTTATGACCGAATGAAAATAAATTCTTTGTGAATGTCATTTTACTGTTTCAAAGTGGATTCATACTTCGAAACAAGTTGAAAAAGTCAATCTTGAATCTAGATCGAGAACTTTTAAAATAAGAAAAAAAGAAGTAAAAAAATGGTATATTTGAAAAAAAGGTCCTGGAGATTCTTGTAAAGCTAATCAGTAATAAAAAATTCACCGTAACCCCTGATCATACTGTAGTTTCAGGGCAACGGACCACCGGCCTACTGTACCTCGAACCGTCGCCAAGCCGAGCACGCCGCCTGGGACGAAGGGGATCATCTCCAATCTTCACCCTCCAGTGGCGACTTTGAACGGATTCAACCCCCAACTTCTTGATTTCTTTTTTCTGTTCTTATTGTTTTTTCAGTTTGTTCATCGTTTTACGCATCCGATTTTTCTGTAAAATTCGCAAAATCCTTACCTCCCCCAACCGTATACACAAGTGCACAATAGTATCTCAACCATTCCGTTTAACTATTATTTGTTTCGATTACTCAAAATCTCATCCATGACGCATATCTGACTCGTTTTTTGTACAGTTGAGGATTTTTTTTGGTAGGTTGAGAGAGTGGAGGTTTTGAAGAGAGTTTAGAGAAGCTAGAGGGTTTCTCGTTGTCTGGAGTCTCTTCAGACCTTCGTTGATCTCTCGCTTTTGCCGTTTTTCTCTGGCTTTGAGCCCTTATGAAGAAGAGTGAAGAGACTTCAGAAAGCTAGATTTCCTATTTTTCTCTGCCGTCTCTTCAAAACACCACTATCTCTCCCTACCCTCTTGCACATTGATTGATTGATTACTGTAAGTATTGTTGTTGATTTCGCCTCCCCTTGATAATCATTTTTTGTGATTTCTTTTTATTCGTTAACTCGAAAGACTTGTTACTCCGAAACTTGCATATCTCCTCCCAAATTTCTTCCTCACCAACGTTAATAGGCACGATTTGATCGGGAAAACTTCCAAAAACACATTTTCCCACCTCTACGGGTTCATTTCATTCATTTCCCTCACATCAAACCAATTTTTCTAAATGTAACCAGTTCAAAACGGATTTACTGTCAAACAACAAAAAAAAAGACGAAAAGCCATTTTTCCCCCCTGTACCATAATACATACTGTAAATGCAAATATCACTCGATTCGGCAATAGTTCTTTCATTCTCCAATTCCTTTTCTGTTCCCATTTTGCAATACCGTTTTCCTCTCCAATAGTTGCATCACCCCACTCATCCGTGTAATCGTGTAATCTTAGCAACAGTTACGGGTTCCACTTCCTTCCTTACTATTATTATTATTCACATGATCAGTACTTCCCAAACCAATTGCACCATTGCGATGATTAATAAAAAAACTTTTCCATTTTCCCAAGCTTTTTTTGTACTTTTCGCGTGAAATTTCCTGGTTGAAATGACTCCAAGTGATTCTTTGGCAGTTGGGGGTTGATCCCGAATTTATTAATGAATTTTTTTAAACCTTTTCAATAAGTATTTCAATAACGGAAAAGGTATGCTTTTCAAATTTCATAATTGGTTTTAAGTTTTCAGAAAAGTTTTCAGTTTAAAAAAGCGGTTTTGAAGAGCTACAAAGGTTGAAGTTAAAAAAAAGGCCTAAAAGTTTATTTTTGGATTACGGTATCCTAAGATTGTGTCCACGTTGGCTGCAGATGAATTGAATTTGAATTGAACCTTGAATTTTACGACTATTCCGATCTTTGACGGAAAGAGCGCTTTTTTTTCACTCTATTTGCAAGTTTTCTTTTCATGAAACTTTTTTCAAGCTCTTTATTGGGATTTGTATGAGTCTAGAAACTAGTAAGGACTGAATATTTCAAGTTTCATGTTATTTTTGTCGTATTATTCAAATGTGCTTTTTTTTGCGTTTTAAACTGAACAATCCGTATTTTGAAGTTTTAGAAGATATTAATCGATGAAAAATAAAGTAATTTCATATTTTTAGTTCTTCCAATAACAAAAAAGAGGTTTTTTCTTGTTTTCTGTTCCAATTTTTCGCCTTGAACTTGAGTTTATTCTATTTTTTTCTCATTGCAGAAAAATGGCTGGACCTGAGGAGCCGATTTGTCAAGTTATGCTGAAATTGATCGAAAATGATGACGGTCTAGGTTGTTTTAAAAAAATAAAATGTTAAAGCAAAATGTTTTTCCAGGCATGGTCAAGCACAAAACCATGTGTCTGAGTTGTGTTCTGGAAGCGCAATCGAAATTCCCGCCCGGTGAAGAATTCCTGTGGCCTAATGATCCGCCGCCGTGGATTGGTTCGGAAAAAATAAATGATAAATTAGAAAAAAATTTCAGATGTCTCTGAAGAGGAGAAGGATAACCCGCAGAATTTAAACAAACACATGCGCAAATTTGAGGTTGGAAAATCAGACAATGGAATGATAAAATGGATGGTTTAGAAAAGAAAATTGTTGCTGACCCCCGAAGATATCGACGAATATCTCGAGGGCTTGGAGTACGGGGATGAGAAACTCGTTTATGAGATTTCCAAGTACAAAAAAGTTGACAAGTTGGTTTTTGTGTGTATATTTTTGCCTCATTGGAGTTTTAAAGGCGCAAGAGATTTTTTTGGACTTTGACCTGTGCTTTTTAAGTTTTTTTTATTAAAGGATTTTTTTGAGACTTCCCTGTGCGCCTTCAAATCTTTTTCAAACGCTCAAATTTTTTTAATTATTTCCTTGTCTTCAAGTTTTTGAAAGCACAGGAGAATTTTTAAGCTTCACTATGTGCCTTTAAACTTTTTGTAAAGGCTCGGGAGCTTTTTTTGAAGCACAGGTTTTTAAAGGCACAGTAGATTTTTTTAAGCCTTTGATGTGTCTTTGAATTTTTTTTTTTCCCGGCGCAGGAGAATTTTCAAAAGCTCAGTCGAATTTTTAAAGGCGCAGGACATTATTTTAAAGGCGCATGGAATTTTCCGGGAAGATTTTTTTGGCTTTAATTTAATCTTAGAGATTTATTCAGGCTTTTCTCTGTGCCTCTAATTTTTTTTGAAGTTCCGAGTAATTTTTTTTTTGGCTTTTTGTCGTGCCTTCCATTTTTTGTTAAGGAGCAGGAGACTTTTTAAACTTCTTGATGCGCCTTTAAATTTGTTTCCGGACTTCCCAGAATTTTATATTTTTTTCAAAAATGTCTTTGATTTTTTTAAAAGCCGTCGAAGATTTTTTTTAGGTTTTCCGTGGTGCTTCTAAGTTTTTTTTAAAGGTGTATAAAGAATATTTGAAATTTTTTTAGGTACAGAAACTTTTTTGACCTAAATTCTTCAATTTTTTTCGAGAATTTTTCTTCAAGTTTTTTTGAAAAAAATATGTCAATTTCAAAAAAAGAGTACTCATCAGGGAGTTTCTTTGTGGCTGGTTGAAGGCTCAGAATCACGAGAAATATATTAATTTCTTGCCAAGATTTTCTCGGAGTTCTCCCTGTGTCTTTGAAATTGATGAAGGGTCTCGAAAGACGGTTTATATTATTTTTAAAAAAAGATTTTCGATTTTTTTGAATGTATATGAAGTTTTTTTCTGATTTTCCCTGCGTCTTTGAGTTTATTAAGAAGATCAAAAAAAGTTTATTTTCTTCATTAACACCGTATTTCAAATTATTAAAGGCGCAAGATGTTTTCATATTACTTTCTGCGCCTTTAAACTCTTCAACAAGCTTTTTGAATATTTATTATTTGAAAACTTTATGAAAAAAGGGATTTTTCCGCATTTCTTACCCAAATACCGTGTTTTTTCCAGGATGGAGGCAAGAAAAATAATGCGTGATATCCGAAGGAAACAGAAAGAAAAACAACGGGAAAAAGAAGAGGATGAGAAAAATGCCAAGAAACAGAAGGAAGCCGACGAGAGAGCCTCGGAAAAGCTGCGCAAGGCCGACGAAAAACGCATCGAAATGGGGGATAGAAGATCTCGAATCGTTGATGGGGAGGTGAGCAGAAAATTAAGTGGAGAAAATTTTCAGTTTCAAAAAAAATTGATTTTTATCATTAGAGCGCAATTGAGCACGAAAAATTGCCTTTGAAAATTTTTTCTAGTTGTTTTTGGGACACATAATGGAGTTTCTAATATCTTTAATAGATTTTTTGCTTTGAGGATGAATAAAAGAGTAATTAAAAGTGAATGTAAGTAAAAGGACAATTTTTATCAATGGAGCGCAGTTGAGCCCAAAAAATCGCCTCTAAAAATTCTTATCAAGAGTTTTTTTAGGAATCTTAATATAGTTTCTAGTATTTATAGAATATTTACTTTCTTAAAATATTAATGTAAAGTTGGTCAGAAGTGAATGGAAAAATATATGAAAAAATTTTGTCATTGGAGCGCAATTGAGCTCAAAATATCGCCTCTAAAATTTTTTTCTCTGTTTTTTTATCAACTAACATACTGAGGTTCTAATATGTAAAATATATTATTCCCTTCAAAAAACTCACAATCGATGTAAAGCTAATAAGTACAAAAATTAGAAGGGAACGAAAAAAAGGACAATTTTTATCATTGGAGCGCAGTTTGACACTGGAAATCGCCCTCAAAATTATTTTTCATTCGATGATCATTATCAGCTCACCTACCGGGATGTCTTATATTTGTAAAATATTCATCGAGGTTCATAAAATAAAAAATTTGGAAGCGGATGATATATATATAAACTAGTTTTTGTCATTGGAGCGCAGATAATGACTGAAAAATCGCCTTAAAAAAATTTTTTTGTTTCAAATTTGGCTAATAAACTCACTGGACTCTTCAGTTTTTCATAATATATTCGTTCCCTTGGAAAAAAAGTACTTACAAGGAATTTTTATATGATAAGATGATAATAGTAGAATGGGATGAAATAAATAAAACTATTGATTTTTTATCAGTTTGAGAAGCTAAAATTTTCAATCATTTCAACTTTTTTTTCCAATTAGAAAAATTATGCTCCTTTTAGGCAGGAAATCTCCTTCTCTAGGAAAATAAAATCGCCAGGATTTTCTTGGATTTGCTTTGATTGTAAAAGGCAACAATAGCGAGAATATTGTTTTGAAGTCCAAAAAGATTATATTTTTTGCGTGAAACGTATGTTCTGCGTCATTTTTTGACCTTTGAAGGGAAGAAATGTCTTTTTTTTTGTTTTCAACTTGGCTCGGAAGTGAATTTTTCTTCATCATAAATTAAACTAAAGACAGGGATTTTTCTCGAAAAATGTTCTAAAAATGGTTATTTTCTTAAGTTTTTGGGTGAAATTAAAGCTCCTTTTTCGGATTTTTTTAACGAATTTATGTGGTTTTTTCGTTTTGTAAGTTCTGTAAAAGCTTGAATCACCCATAGGAGTGAAGGAAATGAAAATTTTTCTTTGCTTTAGAGAAAACTCGAAAAATTATACGGAAATGGGTTGAATAAATGATGAAAAATGACGATTTTTTAGGTCTTTCACACGATTTTCATTCGACAAGTTCGGAAAATTAGACTTTTTTTCGAGTTTTACTCCGATTTTAACTCTATTTAACTTTCCAGCAACTCCAAGCGATCCTCGCGATGGACAAGGAAGAGCTAAGACTACAGGAAGCAGTGGAGAAAGCAGTGGAAGAAGCTGAGAAAAATGAAAAGAAGAAAAAAGGAGACACCCACAAGAAACCAACAGGACCCGCTGTTTTCAATGTAATTTCACCCAGAAAAAAAGAATTTTTTTCCGAAAAAAAAATGTTCAGAAAAAATCGGCAATGCCCTGGATGCCATCCCCCGTTGATATTATTGGATTCGAGGATAGATCGGTTCGTTTTTGGGAGTTTTTAAAAAAATGAGGGTTTTTGAAGAGTTTTGACTGGAAATTTTGGAAGAAAATGGGTGAAATTTGGACTTTTCAGTTGAAAATCATACAGAAAAACGGTTGAAATTCAATTTTTCGGCTGAAATTTTGAGAAATCTGACGAAAAAAGCAATTTTCCAGGTGGAAATCATGGAAAAATTTGTTTGAAATCAAATTTCGCTCAAAATTTCATATAAAATAGTGGAAACAAAACTGTCTCGAAGAAATTTTCAACGGAAAAAAATGATGAAAACTGATATTTCGATACACTTTTTGAGCAAAAAAATCTAGTATTTTTTTCGTAGAAATTAAAAAAATTTTTTTAATAGATCCAAGGAAGCTCGACTGAAATCATGTAGAAAAAGCGATTAAAATTCGACTTTCGGATGAGATTTTTTTATTTAAAAATTATGAAAAATTTAGTTATTTCGTTCAAAAGTTATCATCAAAAACGAACTTTTCTGAATAGACTTTTTCAAAGGAATTAATTAGGAAATCGAATATTTTCATCAATTTTTTTAAGATGGAAACTGATTTTTTTCAGAAATTCTCCTACGAGGATCAGAAGCGATATGTCGCGATATGTCAGAATTTGACGAATACTGGAGATTATCGACACACGACAAATCGAGAGGAGATGAAGGTATTGAAAAAGAAAAATAGAGAAAATTTGAAAAAAAAAACCTCCATCAAAACTTTCCTGTTTCAAAAGTTTTTATAAAACCGACTTCGATTGATTCGATAGTTCTATTGTCAGAATCGTGCAAATACTCTTGAAACAGGCCAAAAATAAGTTTAATCTCATGCGCCAGACCAAAAACGACTTGCGCGGAGGAGTATAAAAATAATGCTGCTAATGGCTTGCAATATTCAGGTCGACTGAGAAAAATATCAATTCAAAAAAACCCTGATCTTTAATATTCGTGTTTGAATATTTTTTTATAAAAAAATATACTAATCTCGTGCGCACGACCCGAAACGACTTGCGCGGAGTAAATATTTGTAAAAACTTGCTCAGGACCACTGAGAGAAAAATCATATTTTAAGGAAAAAAAAACCCTTGTTATCAGTATTTTCCCGTTTCAAAAGTTTTTAGAATAACCTATTTCGATTCATTAAATAGTTATATTGTTCTATTGGCATATTCGTGAAAATTCCTTGGAAAGAGGTCAAAAATAAGTTTAATCTCGTGCGCCAGACAAAAAGCGACTTGCGCGGAGGACTATAGAAAAAATGGTAGAAGCTTGCAAAATTCAGGTCGACTGAGAGAAATTTTTGGAAAAAGTCCCATTTTTCTTTTCTGAAAGCTAGGAAGCGTGGGAAGTTAAGAGAGCGCATGGATAAAAAATGTCTGCGCTCTCCTTTTTAAAACGCTCTCTATATTCCGAATTTGGAGCTTTTGCTTCTTCACACTGTTTTTTCTGCTCACTCGGAAAATTGAAAATTGATCAAATTTTATTCTGAAAACTTTACTTCTTTTTTTCTCCAGAAACTTGAGAAGTTTGACAAAAAATAATTTCCTTAGAAAACGTGTCAATTTATCGTGGTTCATGAATTTAAAAAGTTGAACTTTTCTATTAATATCGTCACGTTAATATATTCAGTGAAAGAAGGATTCCAAGACCAAGTACGTTTGCAAGAAATTACTTATATTCACTTTAAATTATACATTTGTTCAGTCTTCAGAGAACTTTTTCTGCTTAATAATAATGGAAGGAAAAAAAGGAGTTTGTCGGTTTGAGAAACGGTCGTTGATCAAGAACGGCGGGTAGAGTATCACGCCCTTGTTTGAAAGTAGTAGAAAAGTTCTGAGACTTCCGATGATCAGCTGCTTCTCCGTGTAGGAACAGTAGGACGCCCAACTTGTCCTTGGCTGGCAAAACATTATGCTTTTCTTGTTCACAATCGTTTTATAAAATTAATTTCCTCAATTTTTGCGAAAAACCCCTTTAAATGTCCCATAGTGTTCTCAAACCTAGAGCAAAACAGGAAATCTCCTCAAGGGTCTTTCAAAAGAAAAAAAAAGAAAGATCTTTAAGGGTCCTAACTTATGAACGCCAGAGTGATCCCTGTAGGGGTTAAGGCTCAAGCAACCACTCCAGGGGCCGAAAAAGTTGGTAAAGCGATCCCTAGGGCGGACCCTCTAAGGGCCCTTAAGATTGCCCCTATGGGGACCACTCTGGAGTTCTGAATAATCAGATCTTTTTTTCATCTATCCCACAACCTTCAAGAAAAAAGGTGCTGTAAAGTAACGAAAAGGCTTTCAGTGGTTTCAAAAAGGGTTCACCAAGGCTATGAAAAACAATGTGGCCAGTGGGCGTGACTTGTTGAAATTGTGTCGAAAAAAAAATAATTTGCTATAGGAGCGCGGTTATCAAAAAGTAACTGTATGCATTTTGAAGATCAAGCAATTTTTTTAAATTGAAAAGAGACAAAAAGTTTTTTTGACAAAACGATTTATCGCTTTCAAGGGATTTTCACCGAATCGAGTTCAGAAAGAGAAAATTTTGAAACAAAAGTGTAGTCTGACCAGATTTTGAAGTTCAAGTACAATGACGTCATTCGAAAACTCGGATGAATCGCTCTCTGATTGGTTCATTGAGCCATTAGGGGGCGGAGCTTGAGCGACGGCTTTAAATCTAAAGTTCGAACAGACTGACTGAAACTGTCTGGCTGATTCACAGCTGGCTTGAGCTATCCAAAAAAGGGTTCTGACACAATAAAAAAAGAGATAGTGCCTGGTTGGTGGAGAGAGCAGACAGGCCACGCCCCCTTGCGTTCCAAGTTACCCGTGAATCGGCTATATAAACAGGGATCTCAATGGAAGTTATAATTATTTTTGGTAAATTATCAGATTTTGGGTTAATATCGATTCTCATATCATTTCTATTCATAGCAACTTTGAAACTTAACAATGACGGGTGAAATTGGATAATCAACAAAAAGTTTTTTTTAAACTTAAAAGTTTTATGGAAGCAACGGGGAGAAAATGGAATCTGGGAACTTTGGATCTCTAGAGTGGTCCCTCTAGGGGCCACTTTACCAATCCCTATGGGGCCCAGCTAACGCTTGCAAAAGGGGTTCCCATATAGGTATAGATCGTCAAAGGCATTGGTTCAAATCTTCCAATTTTTCCCTTCCTAGGACTTCCTGAAAGCGTCGCAAGAAGAACGCGACGGTTTCACGGAATTGGCATTGCAATGGGCCGACGACCGCACGCATTGGCATCCTTTGGACTCGCTCACCAGAGGCGCCATTGATTATATTCAGGTGAATTTCGGAAAGGAATCAAGGATTTTTTCAACTTTATAGGGTAGATACGCATTTGAAACTCTTTTAGCTGACTTTAAAAAATTAGAGGCGTTAGTTATTTTCTTCAGATGGATTTTTCGAACGAACATAGCAATTTTTGAGCTGGATACGAGGAATGCCTAACTTAAAAATGTTCTAGTTACCCTAAAAATAATGAAAATCCAAAGAAGCTGTCGATTTTATCCAGAGGAATTTTTAGAACGAAAGGATGGATTTTTTGTTGAGATTTGTAGGGATATACAGACTTGGAACAGTTCTAGCTGACCTAAATATTATTGTAAGATCCAAAAAAAGCTTTTTGATTTTATCCAAGTTGTTTTAAAGAAAGGAACAAAAAAATAGCGATTATTGAACTTTACATGAAAAACTTGGTACTTGAAAAAAAGTTTAGTTTACCTGAAAATAATTTTTTTCAAAAAGCCAAAGACGCTTTTGATTTTATATTGGGAATTTTTTTAAAGGAAATCAGTGATTTTTTTGAAGAATATAGGGAAATTCGGCGCTATAAATCTTCTAGTTGATTTTTTTCTTTAATAGAAAAGCCAGGGGAATTATCGAATTTATTCAGTTTTGCATGTAAATTCGAAATTTCAGAGAAAATATTTTTTTCATTTGAAAAAGAAGTTTTTTTAATTTCTAAAAAAATATACAAAAAGTTTGAAAAAAAGTCTTCAGAGCAACTGGAAGAAACGCATACCCAACGGCAAGCATTATCTGGTTGGGGCGCCTGTTTTCACGATGAATTCCGAGGATCTTGATGTATTTTTTTTTTCACTCTTTCCTTGTTTTTTTGCTCCGAAATATGCGGTTTTTTCGATTTTTCTCCTTCTTTTTTCCTTCAATTTGCGAATTTTTCCAATTTTCTAAATTGGTTTTACCTGAAATTTGCAAGATTTACCTATTTTATAGTTCTTTTTCCTGAAATTTGAAAAATTTTTCTTAATTTATTGGTTCTTTTTCTCCTAAATTTGCGAATTTAACCAATTTTGTGGTTCTATTTTTTTTCCTAAAAATTTGCGAAATTTACCAACTTCACATTTTTTTCTTTTCAGTTTTCTTGTTATTTTTTTCTCGTATAATTGCCAATTTTTTAAATTTTTGAGGTTGTTGCCAGAGGCGAGAAGACTGTTCTGGAGCCGAAAATGGTTCGTCTCCTTCAAAAAGGAAAAAGCGACTTTTTAACGGTAAAAGAGTGAAGATTTTCACGATTTTTCTTCGGGTTTTCAGTTTCCGGACATGACGAAACAGTGCTCTTTGGAAAGTGTGGTCGGTTTGGAACGGCCAGAAAAAGTGGCGATTCAGGATGATGAGGTAGAAAATCGAAAAATCGGGTCAAATTACATTAATTTAAAAAAATGACTTTTTTCTAGTTCGCTTAGGAGCTCCAGAGTGGTCCCTATAGTGGCGGCTTCAGAGCCCTTTGAAGGGTAAACTCTAGGGACCACTTTAGCAACTTTTATAGGAACCACCAAAACTTGTGAAAAGGGTCCTTATAGAGTTTCGGGGACTTTAGTGGTGCTCATAAGGGTTTCAGTTAGTGGCTTCTTCAGGGGAGATTGCTAGTGGTCCCTATAGGGTTAAAGATAAAATTTACCTGTTTAGGAGCTTCACAGTGATCCCTATCGGGGCGACTCCAGGGGTCCTTGGAGGGTCCCCTCTAGAGTGGTCCTTATAGGGTTCCGGGGACTTTTTAGTGGTGTCCATAGGGGTTTCAGTTAGGAGCTCCTCTAGGGAAGCTTGCTAGTGGTCCCTATAGGGGAAAAGATAAAAAGTACCTTTTTAAGAACTCCAGAGTGCTCCCTTAAATTTAGGAACCACTTTGCCGACACTATAGAAGCCCTAAAACTTGCAAAAGTGGTCCCTACAGAGGTTTCAGTTAGTGAATCCTCTAGGGAAGCTTGCTAATGCTCTCTAGAGGGTAAAAAATAAATGGTACCTTTTTAAGAACTCTAGAGTGGTCCCTGAAGGGGCGACCTTGGCCACCACTAAGCTGACTCCTATAGGAGCCCCTAAAACTTGGGAAAGTAGTCCCTACAACAAAATTGGTTCAAAGCTCATTGTTTGAAGCTTGGTCCTTTGAAAATCATTTTTAGAGCCTTTTTCAGATCGTCCGAGAACTCTGCTACTTGAACGACCTGGACGTGGCGATGGACGCTACAACGGCCTGTCATCTGATGTGCGAAAGCTGGGAATCTCACGAATTCGACATCGCCGTCCCGATCAGCATCCTAAATGATGAAGTTCAAGGTTTTCAGGGAGTTCGGAGGACTTGGGACTTGAAAAAACTGTCATTTCTTCAAGAAATATGCGTTTTAAAAACAGATGGATCGGCTCTTCAACAAAAATATATTACTTTCAAAGTAGTATTATAAGTTTTTTTGAACTCAATTCTCATGATTTTCGTTACATTTCGGTCAACATAAACAAATTGTGTATGGGTATGGATCGGCTATAACTAAACTAGCATTCTGAAACCCGGAACTTCATCGAAAAAACAATCAATTTTCTAGGAAAAACTCGAAAATTGGTCATTTTCGAGAAGCCGTCTCCTACGAATACAATTTCACGGGCCACAGTCCAAAGGCAGTTTATGAAACATTCGCTAAGAAACACTTTCGTCAAATCGTCGCCTGCGCCTTTAATCAAGGAGAAGCCCAAGGAGAAGAAGGCCATTGAGCAAGGTGAATAGAGTGCAGAGGTCTTTCTTTGCAAAAAAGGGACATAAGAAGGACATAAGAGGGACAAAAGGGCAAAGACAAAACTTTGAAATTTTTACGAAAGAGCGCAGTTTCTGGTTTTCAGGGAAGGGACAATAAAAAATCAATCTTTTGATCGACTTCCAGAAATTTTTAAGTTCACGGCGTTCCTAATGGGACGAGGGAAGGTGAGCGAGGCGTCAAAGTTTCTGAATTTCCAAAAAAAAAAAGCAAGTGCGCGCTCCGGATGAAGTTACGTCACGACGCGTCATTCTACGTCATAAATTACACTGAGTATTCAACGTTATAACTTGTTTGATCGATCGCCTTTGGCTGCGTACTTGAGATTTGAATTTTCGCGCCAAAATTTCTTTTGACGTCTCCCCACCTCGTTTGGGAACGCCGTGAAGCTAACTAAAAATCGCTCCAAAAACATCAAGGAGTATACAAGAAAAAAATCGGGCCCTGTTGACGCGAAACACATGCTCCGTGGCTTTCGTTTAAAAAAATGTTCATCCGATTTGGGCCACGGAGAAAAAATTTAGATTTTTTTTTTCGTATTTCATCTACAGTAGCCCTCAAAAGGGCGGAGCTTTTGAGAACCTCAACTAAAAGTTCCAGAGGCATTTTTAGTTGTTGTGACAGAAGTATAAGCTCTAGAAAAGTCTTACTCTTTTGGCAACTCATCGATTTTCTCGGAATCATTCTTCTTCTTCTTACTCCCTTGTATAGTCCGTCTGGCGCAACTTGACAGTTTTCGCGTGTCTGCGTCTCTCTGTTCTCTCACCGACGAAGTCGGAGAAAAATGGAAATAGCATGCAAACATGAGAGGGGCGTCGAGAGATAAGGAGGGCGCAGAAATTGACTAAGAGAAGTCCCGCCCTTTCAAGTCGCGAAAAACGTACTATACCGCTTGAGTGGCGATTAGCCGAGGTCTTATCCTGATATGTGATTATCAGTGGACTGGCTCCAGTGACATATCCGTCCTTGTGTGTGACGGCTAAAAATTTTTGAAGCCGTGATTCCCCACTACCATCATCTCTTAAACCCCTTGGTTAGGCGGGGATCGAACTTGTGACCCTGTGCACCGTAGACAGGCACACAATCTGTTGCGCTACGCAGAGCCCCTATCGCTCTCGGAATCGTTAATCAAAATCATTGAATCTGAAAATGATTGAATTTTCAGATGATTCTGAAGAGAAACAACCGGTTCACCCGTCGCTACTGGTCAGGCCTTCGTCTAGTTTAGAAATCGTGACTTTTGAAACTTCTGAAACTTCTGAAACTCCTGAACGGTAATCAAAAAATCATATATCATGTTTTAAAAAATTTTGGCCAAAAGTCGTTTTTGGCTCAAAAATGTAGGGAAGTTCAAAATTTGGTTGATTATTTCATGAATTTTGGCTGTTAGGTACTCTGAAAAGTAAATCGAGAAAATGTGGTTTTTCCAATTTTTAGTGGAGTTATGACTACTTGAAAGTGCCAAAAATCCTCTTTTCTAATGTTTTTCAAATTTGAGGCGTTGTAACTATGATAAAAGGCAGAAAGCCCAATTTTTCAGACCGATTGAGAGTTCGGAAAGTCCTGAAGAGTCTGTGAGCCAATTCCAATCAAAATCTGGAAATCCCGACAGCACCCCGACGGCTGGCGTTGATCTTCTGGACTCCATCCTGTCAGACATTTCCAAGGCCGCCACTTTCGCCCCATCACCGACTAAAATCTCCTGGAATGATCCGAATCGACCCAGCAGCACTGGTATTGAGCTTTTGTTCGGTTGTCGCTGGCTTGGGGGAATCTCTTGCTTCTTTATGTGCATTCGTTTGATAAAAAAATTTTTTTTCGAAAATATTGTTTCATAGACCCTTTTTGGATCTTCCTGTTTCATAGTATTTTTCGAAAACTTTGGAGTTTTCTCATTTTTTTAAAAATTTTTCTTGATTTTTAATAGTTTTTTTACTGATTCTCTCCGTTTTGAAATTCCGAAAAATAGAAGAGTCCAGAATTTATGATATTTTCTTAAACCATTTGAACACCTTTGCATTGACTTTTTTTAAGATATACCATGAGATTTTAAAAATTTTGAATTTTTCTCTTTTTTTTTTGACTTTTTTTTTCATGAGATTTTTCAAGATTTCAATTCCTCTCTATTCTGAAAGTAGAACAAGGTATCTACAATTTTTAGTAAAAATCTGAAAAGCTTTGTCAAAACTTAAAATTTCTTAAATAGGTTTTTTTTTTCTTTGTGGTTTCTTCTGTATATCATAGGTATCATAGTTCATAGGACAACTTTTTCGCGAATTTCGAACTTTTTAGGATTTCAGAAAAAGTATCCGACAGCACCGTACGATTTGTAGAACGTGATTGAACATCCTAGAATTTTAATTTTTTTTTGAAATACAAATTTTGAGAATTGACTCATTTTGATTCACCAATATGTTCGCAAATTTGAGTTTCTGACGTTTTTTAGTAGTTTCTTGTCCCAAGCTAGCGGTGAATAGAGTTTTGGGCCCAAATAATCAATTTTCCATCAGGTTATCAGTATGGAATCTTCAAAATCGGGGAAATCGATGTTCTGATTCGATCGGCACCGTCTCCGAAAGTACAGCCCTTGCACGCGTATGCGCCTGATTATTTGGTTTTGAAAAAATAATATCTTTAATAAACTTTTAAAAATGTGTCTCCAGAAAGTTCGGCAACAACTCGTTCGGAAATTGGTCTCCTTCGAGCCGAGGATCGAGTATATGCCCAATTGCGGTGCCATGGTAGGGTTCATAGCATGTCTAAGTTTTCAATGTCAAGCTCCGCCCCCGCGATGAGCCAATCACAGAGCGAGCCACCAACAGAGCCTTCTTGAATGACTTTGGAACTCCAAAGTGGTCCCTATAGGGGCGACATTAGGGGCTCTTGGAGGGTCCCCTATAAAGAGCACTTCAACGAGTACTATGGAATGGGCTACTGAATCTTGCAAAAATGAAATTTAGGGGTCATCATTGCATCTAACCCCTATTCTAATCTCTATAACTTGCATTTTTTTTAGAATCTCGGTGAATTTTCAGGCACTTGGAACCGAAGAATGGCTCTGGAACCACCTGAAAAAGACGTTCAAAGGATCCGCGGCCCACGCTTTGTTCAGAACGCATTTTTCGTGGGTTTTAAGAAAAATAAAAGGAATTTCGAGCGTAATCTGAATCACATGCAAAAGTAAAATTTTTTTTCGGAAAAAGTGGAAAACTTGACATTTTTCCTGTTTCAAAATATCATGAAAATGTCGCGTCCGTAGCGTTTTCCACTTAACTTTTTATACCCAAAAAAATTTCATAAAATTAAAAAATCAGTAAAAATACAGTAAAAAAATTTTTAATTTTCGCAAATTTTCATGGTAGCTCAATTTTTTCTCCTCAAATCTCATTCATGAACTTTGACTCAGTATTTTGTGAGCCTTTTTTCAGTTTCGATCAAGTCCTCCAGCTGGACTTGTTCTCGATGAGCGGCGATCTGAGAACCCGGCCTGAAGACGCCTTTTCTGTGTCCGTCTTTGTCGAATCCAAGCTCAAAACCATATTTCATCCTTCAGATTGTCCTCCAGAACGTTGCGATTCGAAAAGTTGCTGAAAAATTCGATGAATTTGGCGAATGGCAACTATGCGATTTATAAGGAGAACGGACAGCCGCTGAGAATCATTCGAGCTGTCGATTCTTCGACGTAAGTTCTTTTTTTTAGGATTATGTTTTCATTGGATTACTGAGCTGAGAAATATCTTTTTTCCGGAAATTTTAACTTTTTATTTGCTGGGAAAGTTTCATAATGGAACAGAGTACTATGTAGAGGTCTTCTTTTTTCAATTTTTCTCGCGATTTTTAAAAAAATTAGGACTGAGTTATTTTTCGGCTATGTCTTCCAGAAGTTTTTTGAACATTCTGAGAAAAATTTTTAGTGACCACTATAGAGGCTCTCCAAGGCACTAAAGTGGCCACTGAAATTTGTATTGGTCTAGCAGTAGCACTTAGACCCCTATAGTGACCACTAATTTGACTACTATAGTGGCCACTAAAACTTTTCCCAGTTCTGCTTGAAACGCGCTCCTTCTTTTTAATATAGCCGATCCATGGCTAGCTTGAGACACTAAGAGGGCGTGGCCTATCTGGGCTCTCCACCGACCATACACTATCTCTTTTATTATCGTGTCAGGACCAGAGATTGGCGCAAACGAATTTTCAAATCGCGGAATGAGGAATCCTTGAAGATTTCCGTAGTAAAAAAGAGAAGTACCTTTTTTTTTTGTAAAGATAACATTTATGTGTTTTCTCTTTGGATGGTAGTTTTCGACAGTTAGCTTGTGAAAAAGGCTTTTTTTTTTTGAAAATCTTACTTTTCATTCGCTGGAAAAGTTTCATAATGGAACAGGGTACTATGTAGATGTCTTTTTTTTTAATTTTTCAATTTTTTCCTGTCTTTCTCAAAAAATTCAGGCCTGAACTGTTTTCCTGAGTTCCCTTGGCTTTTCCTGTTTTTCGGACATTATTTTAAAAAAGCGCTCTTTTTTGATATAGCCGATCCACGGCTGGGTTTAGACGCAAAGGGGCGTGGCCTGTCTGGGCTCTCCACTAACCAGGCACTCTCTCTCTCTTTTATTATCGTGTCAGGCCCCTTTTTTTCGATGGCTCAAGCCAGCCGTGAATGAGCTGATGCTTGCAGGAGAAACGCGATAGACGGCTCCATGTTCACGGCGATCGTAGAAAGACCTATGGAAATCGAGTCGGAAAAACCTTTGACCATCCGCAAAGCCTTTTATGGCTGGTGTATGGAGGTCTTGCTCCAGTGGCAGGTTTTTCCCCTTTTTTAGAAAATCATATTGAAGTAATTATGCTTCAGATTGTACAGTCCCGAGCTCCGGGCACCTTTTTGCCTGCCGATTCGCCCATCATCCGAAATGTGAGTTTAGGGCCGAAATTTGCGTTGAATGTCTGCTCTATTGATAAATTTCGAAATTTGGAAATTTAGGGCCATTTTTACAAGGCAACCTTTTTTGAGAGCTTCGGTCAAAATCGGAAAATTTTTCGAAAAAACGGGTTTTTGGAAGATTTCTGCTCAAATCATGTAAATTTTTTTCTTATGAGATTTTATTATTTTAACATAGTTAATTTGAATTTCATGAAAAATCCGATTTTCAAGAATTTTTTTAAACATAGCTATGGGGTGTTTGAAGGCATATGAACTGACTTTATTGACATTTTGTGCTCATCCAAAATTCTGCCGTCTTTTCAAAAATTATTTGACTTTCTAAACAACTTATCGATCGATTTTGACGCTTTTCTTCAATTTTTCTTGACTTCATTTTATTGCACTTCCGAATTTCGCAGTTGCCATCGAAAAACACCCTGATGGAAGTGTCTCGCAACCGAAATATCTTCAAGAAGCAAATAAACCGGGCAGTTTCGCGCACCCGAGAACAATTGGAAATGGAACGGGCTCGTGCTGAGGAAGACGTGAATCAAATCATCGCCGAACTCGGCATCCCTACGGACCCGGACTTGGCCGTCGTTTGCGGGGAACATCGGTGAGGAATCGGGAAATAATGATAATCGATGGGGGGGGGGGGGATAATTTTTAGTCTCGGGGGAAATTTTTCAGTCTTGCAAGGTTTTTTTTCAAGTCTCCGGGAAAAAAAAATGAGATTTGGTGGTTCAGAAAACGTTTCTTATGGAGCTTCGAAAGCTTGAAATATGTCGTAATTTTCGTATTATGCAAACTTTGAAGCTTCAAAAATCGAAAAAATGACCGTTGCAAGAAATTTTTTTGTTCTGTATTAAAGTAACGCTTCAGCAAAGTTTCATCGAAAAATTCAACTGTTTGGGGGTGGCTAAGAGCGTTTTCTAGTAAGAATGCCTAGAAAAAAATTTTACCTTAATAAAACCTTTCTTCGAGTTATAAAGCTTCAAAAAAATTCTCAAATTTTTTTGTAGCTTGTGAACTTTAAAGAGTCAGAAATCGAAAAAAAAATACGTTTTTTTACTTGATCTGCGATTTCAAGTACGGTCCGGTCATGAAAAAAATGAACCTCGCGAACGAAAAAAAGACTGTAGACGATGAAAACCCTATAGGGACCTCCTTAATTTTACACCTAACTACTATAGGGACCACTGTTGAATAGAAGGTCTTCAAAAATGGTTCGTCCGTTTTGAACGAGTTTGTCTCAGAGCCTCGAGAGGCCGTGGCGGACACCAATGGCGTGGTCGCGGCGCAGGCTTCCGTGGACGCGGAAGAGGTCGTCCTCCTTGGGGCAGAAGTTTCCGTAATCGAGGTCGAGGCGATTCCCATCACGGATTCCGTGGTCGAGGACGTCTTGGTGGAGAATCTCAAGAAGGCTTCCAAGGCAGAGATCGCGGTCAGGAAACCCAAAACTATACGGACAAGGGTAAAGAACCGACCTAATAAAATGGATTTTGAGCCTTTTTCAGACGCTCCCTCTACATGAGAACCTCGAACGCCTTCATTATACATTCTAATGGGTTTTTCCCAGTTTTTGAATTTTTATTGTTCGTTTTACCTATGAATAATGTTGGGGCTGTCAATTTTGACTCTTATCCGAGCTCCGAAAGTTCTGTATTTTTTGATTTCCTGTCGTTTTACCTATTTTTTGTCATCGTTTCCGTGGTATTGTCCCACAAAAAAAGATATTGTATGAGGAGAAGGTCAGAAAAATGGGAAAGCAGCTTATTTTTCTTTTTTTTTGGCGTGGCGAAAAGATTCTGTTGTTTTTTCTGATTTGGAGTGTATTTTTTGACTAAAAGTAGGTAGGAATCAGCTCATTTACTAAAAATAACTTTTTTGGAAGTTTTTTCGGAGTGAAACTCATTAGAAAGTTGAAATTTATCAAATGGCTTTTTTGAATTTTGAAATTGTGCTCAAGTTGAATGTGGGCGTGGCTATCCAATAGCACTCAGACCTCGGTAGGACGTTTCTGAGCAATTCTAGGGGTTACTTAAGGACTCTGACGCTACTAAAGTGGTCACTAGGAGTGCCGCGGGTCTGAGATATAAATTTATTTTTAATTTTTTTGAGTTTCTCACTGGAGCATCATTTCTCGAGAATAAATAGCTGGATTTAATCGATGTGGTGAACTAATCAGTTCCTTGTTGCCTTTTTCCCATTTTTCGACCTGATTCTCATTCATCTACATGTTTTTTATCGCTTGTAAATGAATAAATTATTATTTCTTTTTTTCAAATGATTGTTTTCTTCTTCTTCCGGTGGTTGAACTCGAATATACTTTATGGATCTTCCAACAGATATTTGTATTTCATTTTTTTCTCAACGCCGCCGCGGACAAATGCATTGAAGACAGGAGATGAGACAGCAGATGAGGCAGCAAATCATACTGAGGATCAGTGAGAAGATGAGCCACGGCTGAAAAGAAACATGTGAATTGTGAGCGCTTTTTTGATTATTTATCATTTTGAAACTAGGAAATTATCTTTCAGAAGTTACATCATAGGCAAAGTCGGAAAAGGCTCGAAAAATGTTCCTTTTTTGCCGCCTTTTTGCACCGTTTTCTCGCCCCTTATGCACCATTTTTGCAGCCTCTCCCTTTTTCCATCATTTCTTGAGCATTTAAAGTCCCAGAAAAAATGGTAGGCTTGATAAAAGGACCCTTTTTGCAACCTTTCTGCGACCTTTTTTGAGCCTCTTCTTTTTAACGGCCATTATCCATCATTCCGACCTTGTTCCTCAAACCATAAAATCCAATTTTTTGAAGTTAGGTATAAACTTTTCGAGAAGATTATAACAATTTCAGCAAAAAAATGGAAAGCTTGCTCGTTTTTCAGAAAGACTGCAAAAGTTTCAAAAATGTACGTGGTTTGAAAAAAACGTGAAACGACTTTTATAGCAAAAAAAAAACAATTTTGCTATATACTCGAAGGAGAATATACGTTTCTAGCGATCTAGATTATATCATCTTTTACTTATATCTTTTAATGCCGCAATGTCCCTGTGAATAATATAATTCAATCGGTTGTTATCGATCAATGAATATATGGGTCATTCCAGCTTGTCCGGGATAAGCTTCCCTTCGTAGTGCGTGGACTGTTTCTTCTTATGCGCCTTTAATAGAACGAAAAGTCAAGGCTCAATTAAAGGCGCATGTCCAGGGCGCTTGTATAGCTAGAGCCCATTCCAGCTTGTCACGATTTTTTGTTTCCTCCAGGCTACAGAACCCTTCCGGGAAGTTTCCCTTTGAAGCTAGTGGCCTGTTTCTGTTCATGCGCCTTTAATAGAACGAAAAGTCAAAGCTCAATTAAAGGCGCATGTTCAGGGCGCTTGTATAGCTAGAGCCCATTCCAGCTTGTCACGATTTTTTGTTTCCTCCAGGCTACAGAACCCTTCCGGGAAGTTTCCCTTCGTAGTGCGTGGACTGTTTCTGTTCATGCGCCTTTAATAGAACGAAAAGTCAAAGCTCAATTAAAGGCGCTTGTATAGCTAGAGCCCATTCCAGCTTGTCACGATTTTTGTTTCCTCCAGGCTACAGAACCCTTCCGGGAAGTTTCCCTTCGTAGTGCGTGGACTGTTTCTGTTCATGCGCCTTTAATAGAACGAAAAGTCAAAGCTCAATTAAAGGCGCTTGTATAGCTAGAGCCCATTCCAGCTTGTCACGATTTTTTGTTTCCTCCAGGCTACAGAACCCTTCCGGGAAGTTTCCCTTTGAAGCTAGTGGACTGTTTCTGTTCATGCGCCTTTAATAGAACGAAAAGTCAAAGCTCAATTAAAGGCGCATGTTCAGGGCGCTTGTATAGCTAGAGCCCATCCCAGCTTGTCACGATTTTTTGTTTCCTCCAGGCTACAGAACCCTTCCGGGAAGTTTCCCTTTGAAGCTAGTGGACTGTTTCTGTTCATGCGCCTTTAATAGAACGAAAAGTCAAGGCTGAATTAAAGGCGCATGTCCAGGGCGCTTGTAAAAATGAGCTATAGCCGGTCCCAGCTTCTCACGATTTTTTTTCCTACGGGCTACAGAACCCTTCCGGGAAGTTTCCCTTCAAAGCACATGTTCTGTTTCTGCTCATGCGCCTTTAATATATCGGAAATTCAGGGCGCATGCTCAGAGAAAGGCCGGCCGCATCGCAGGGGCTTTCCGGAAAAGCTCTGTAGCTCGGAGGAAAATAAAAATAGTGACAAGCTTGCCCGGAATAAGCTATACAGAACCCTTCGAAGCCGCTTGTATGAATGAGCTATAGCCCATTCCAGCTTTATTTGACTTGAAGTTTTCGTTTTATTAAAGGTGCATGCACATAAATAGGCCTCGCGCTTCGCAGGGAATCTTTCCGGTAGGGCTCTGTAGCTCAGAGGGAGAACGTGACAAGCACGGAATAATTTATATCTGGATCTGCGAGGGCGAAGGAAGCTTTAGGAGTATGTTCTAGGAATTGAAACCGATTCTAATTCTGGCCAATGGGACCCGTTGTGTTAAAGGGGCTTCTACCGATCAAACGGTGTTTTTTAACGAGTCGGGTGGGCCCAAGCGGGGACTCGGCATGTGAATTTGGAGTTTGTGTAGATCCGCTGGGCGTAAACGGGACAAAGCGGGCTAAAAATTGGGTTTTGTGTGATCCTCTCATGTTGGCCAGTAGATGACTGCGGATGCTAGCGTCCTTCACCCCCTTCACCCATCCGAATTGAAGATCCCCACCGCGTATCCTATTTATTGACCGACTTTTTGAATACCTCCATTCTCCTTTGTATTCGCGACCTTTTGTAATTACATCAATTCAAATAATAGTTTAGTCGATCAGTTTGATAATCAGTTCAATAATCAGTTCAGTCCTATGAAATGGGTCCTGACGCGATAAGTGATAATAAATATACATTCTGAAAGTATTTTCACTTTTTCAAGCTTACTATTTATAGAGACCAATTTTCGGTATTTTTCAATGGTCTGAACATTTCTTAAAGTTCAAGAAAATCTGATTATCCTTTTTTAAAGTCTTTTGAGATTATTAACGGTTAAAAAACAGCTCAAAGAAATGCACAGGAAAATAAACACTGAAAATAAATTTTAGAGCGAAATTCATCGGATTTCATAAGCTTTGACATGGAGAAAAGGTCCTTTTTTTGTCATTTTTCTGAAAAATTGAAGCTTTTGTGATATTCTCAACCTTTTTTTATGATCAAAAATTTAAAGAAGTCGCAAAAAACCTGCAACTCGGCCCTGCATTTCGGCGGGAAACTCGTGACGAGCTCCCTGTAGTAGAAAACGTTGAAGTCGTCGCTCCCGTGGCACAGAACGTTGCTATCCTGAGAATCATCTCGAATTTTTATATTTTAAGGGAAAAATTCAACTGTTAGACTTGTATAAAAAAATTATTTTTCTAATCAAAAAAATCCGAAAAATTTTAATTATTTTTTTCTCCAATTTTCAATACGAAAAAAAGCGTTAGAATATTCAAAAAAATCCTTGTTTTTTTGAAAAAAATAAACTTTTTTTGAATAACCTATGTCGGATTTAAAATAACTTCCAATGAATAGTTTACATGTAAGGTGAAGAAATCGGCGAATCCATCCGCCTGAACGTAGGAAAATACAAAAACGGCGCAGAAAATCAGGCGGCCGAGCATTTTCTGCTTCGAAACAAGACAAGGAAACGTCCGAAATCGTCATTTTTCCTCTTCATTTTTCGCCTCTGAATCATCGCCTCCCTTCCGACCGTCGTCTGTTTCGATTTCGTATACATTTTTTCAAGCAGGGAATGAGGAAACTTTCAACAAAATTGACAAAAAAAGAGCATGGGAAAATTTCTCTCGACGCAGATTTCATTATCAATTTGTATGAATGGGATCGGAATTGAAGCTTTTTTGAAATAAAAACAAGAGAAATTGAATTTAAAAAAGGCTAGGTTTACTTGGTGCAAACACGCTCACGTACGTTGCGTTTTATTTGACGTCTAATTCTGGCTTAAACATTTTTTTTGAATTTTTCTTTCTTCTTTGTAGTAATATTTATATAAATGATGAATATTTCCTTAGATTGTTTGAAAAAAAGTACAGAAAGATTTTTTTATTTTTTTAACAAAACATTGCTCGGTTCAAGAAAACCGTGATTTTGTTTTTAATTACCATTTTTTTCTGTTTTTTTCCCCACGTTATTTTTTTCAAATTTGAGCTTTTTGAATGGAAAAAAATGAAAGAACTTTAAAAATTGTTTATGCTAAGTGATTTCCTTCGATATTGCGAAGAAAAATAACTTTTTTTCCGAGGGATTTCAGACAAGCCATTGGAAGGCGTTGAATTTTGACCCCGCCGCGGAGTTTTGATCTTGGCGGCTATTCCGTGTTTTGTCATCCTTTTATTGATTGCCTATTTTCTCCTCGTTCTACGCTTTTCTAGAAGTTTTTCTTGTTGTTTTTGTAGGATTTTACTGATGATTACATTAATTATAGGGTTTACATAAAAATTCACTGATTTTTAGCGGTTACCGTTTTTTTTTTTACAGTTTTTTCAAAGTGAAGTTGATATCGATCCTCTTTTTTCCAAATTGATTCATGATTATTTGAAGAGTTATGTACTTTTTTAAATTTTCGTGTAGTTAGTTCATATAGAGTTTGAAACTCTTAATCAAGTTTGAACTTTTTTTTAACGATCAACATTTTTTTTCGATTTTTTTTCAGATCCTTTGGAGGAAAAATGTTATATTAGTAACAAAAAAAGCTCTGGTTAATTGAGAAAACTTTTCGATTGCAGGAAATTTTCTCGTGTTTTACCTTTATATTTTGATAGTTTGTGAAGTTTTTCTAAATTTCCTTGATTTCAGAAGGATCTGGATGGCTCGGATGACGCGTTCCAGCAAAAAAGAAGTCGTGGATTCGTCTTTCGGATCGAAGCGAACAATTTCGACGACGCTGAGAGAATTTTTTTAATGTGGGTTTTTGTGAAAACATTGAACATCGAGTAAAATTGTGAAGTTTAGAATTTTCATGTGACTCGAAACGTCCAAAGCGTCATTTCGAGGCGTTCCCGGACGTTTTTTATTGATTTTCGAAGACATCGCTAGTTTTGATGCTATCAATATGGAATAACGGCTGGGAATGCTTGGATCCTTCGTTTTGGACGTTTCGAAATTGAGAAACTTTGGGATTTTCAGTTGTTGGTTATTTATTGTGAAACTAATTTTTTTCTTCTTTCCTCATATCTAATGAATAAAAAATAGCGATTCTGCATCATTATTTGACCAGAAAATTATGGGTTTTTGTTGTAAAAGTACATCTTTTGTCGTTTTCAACGTAGTTGACTATTTTTTGAAGACTCGAAACAACATCATTTACAGTGAATTCATTTGCTTTGGAAAATTCTGAAATAGCAAAATTTTAGAAGCGTTTCCGTGTAAAAGAGCACAAAATCGCTTGTAAACAGTGTATTTTTGAGGCAAAAAGCAGTGAAGGGTACTCCTTGAAGCACCCTCCTTTCAGCAATTAAATTGCTTCCATTTCATTCGCCTCAACTTCTAAACTTTTGTCTCGAACGTTGTGCCTCGTTCAGAGTGATTTCGTGGTTTCCACTCGGCAAACTTGTGAAAAAGCGATATTTTTCAAGGTTTTCCAAGTGGAAATCCCGGAGTCACTCTGAACGAGGCATCACTTCGAGGCCAAACTTGTAGTTGCTCGAAAAAAAGAAAGTTTTCGGGGTGTACGAGCCCCTTTGCCACCAACGAACATAAATTCTTGAAGAAGCGCGCCAGGAAACGGACGCCACCAGATCGATCGTTGGTGACGTCCACACCCGGCGCTGTACTCCAAGAGTCTCTGCAAGTTGGGAGGCAAATGCTTGGCTGGGATTCGAACCCGAGTCCCCAGATCGAGGGACGAGTTGCCTCGCCACTCTACCAAGCCCGCACGATCGTTCCACGAGTCTCGGCGCCCCATACCGCCGCTGGTCCCCGAGTGCCCGAGTGTTGGCTTGGGTCGAGAGGCGCCGTTTGACCTCCCGACTGCAGTTTGATCCGCGGCGCCAAAACATTGCGTCATTCTTCCACAGCCTTCCATGGCCTTCTAGAACTTCTTATGGCGTCGTTCTTTTCAAATTTCAATGCTTTTTACATTATTTGAATTCGATTTCAAATTAAAATTTGTGAACTTCATAACAGTATGCTATCAGGTCATCATCAAATTAGCTTTTGTCATCTTTTGCGCTCAGTTCTTAGCTATACTTTCGTTCCAATTTTTTAAAAGACCTTAGGATATTATCAAATCATTATGAGGTTTTTTTCAAAGTTGAAGGGTTACTGTATGCTAGTCCGCATTTGACAAACCACCATGCTTGAAAAAAAAGCACATTTTTGGTGTTCCTAAATGTTTTTCTTTCATTTTAAGATTTTAGTTGAGAATATTTGCATATATTCCATTGTATTTATTATCAACTCATAATATTGAAGCCGTTCACAATAAAATTTACTGAATAATTTCGTTTTTTCGAATTATTCATATTTAATGTTCATTTTTCAGGAGACTATTCTGCGAGTTGTGGCATTCTACGTTCTAGCGATTCTCTGACGCTGCGTTGTGCAAGGATCAAAAAGCAATAATCAAGATGAGTTCCGAACTTTTTAATGTTTAATGAAGTTTAATTTTCGGGAATCATCTTCTCTGACGGAGACAGAACTGGGCGTTTGAACGTAGCAGAAACGATTTTGGAATATAGTCTGTTCGGATTTTGAATGTCAAGTAGAATGACGTCATTCGACAACGCTCTGTGGATGGCTCGCTCTCTGATTGGTTTATCGCGCCATTAGGGGGCGGAGCTTGAGCGACGACTTGACATTTAAAAACTGAACAGACTATAGAATTGATGTTTTGAAGACGATATTTTGGATTATATGTCCCTGAGATTCCGCTAGAATACCCGGTTCTGTCTGTACTTTGACTGAATGAAAGGCGATTTTTTTTGTTTTTTGTGTTAAATGATGATTGGATTTTCAGGAAACGTGGCCGATTCCTCCGACAGAACTGGGTGTTGAAGTATCATGTCAGAAACGGAACTCAAAAGGATCTTTTGAAGAAGTTATTGTGATGATTCGTTTCTGACATGTTGCCTTAATGCCCAGTTCTGTCCGGAGGTAGACTTCAAATTGAAGAAATGTAAGTCTTCATTCTTCGTAACTGTAAAATTTTCAAAGAACTCCTTCGACGTGGGACGACGACGCTGTCGAAACGATGACGTTTGAATTGATGAACGACGAGGATTTATGAAATTTAATGATGTGCAATCCCTATTTATAAATCCGAATCGATCAACTTCAAACCAATTTTCAAACTCACTCGATTGGGACACCGTTAGTTTTTCAATCAAATATTCTGAGATTTAGTTGATTCTGATATTTTTTGGACTTGTAGATTTTTTGAAACTCCAATATTGGCTGAGGTTCTCCAAGATGTACTCATTGTTTATTTCTAAAAACCTATCGATCTAGTATATCTTTAAGACTGTCATTGGCGCGCCTATGCACACTACTCTCCATAAACGACTGATCTTTTAATGTTCGACCAATTAACATATTGACTGGTCTCGTAAATTCTCTGGGAGTCAAGGAATTGCAATGGCGCGCCAATACATGCTTACCTTGAGTCAATCATTTTAATGTGCAATGCTTTGAATATATCCACCTCTTCTGTGTCTTTCAAGCTTCATTGTAAACTGTAGTCGGGAGAGCTTTACTGACACATGTCAGTAAGTGAAAGGTTCAGCCTGCATGGAAGATAGTTCTCAGCCACTCCCGAGTGGCACTTTGGTTTAACCAAGGAGACTGGCGAATATTCCCAATCTTCCGTGCTCCAATTCCCACTCTGCAGTTGAACAAAGAGCTTGAAGTCACTGCAGGAGTGGACTTCTTGCTTCTCTGTCACTTCCGACCTTCATTTTCATTCAAAAGGCGAGCTTCACTGACACTTGTCAGAAAGAAGAAAGGGGGCATCTAGCCGCTCATTTGAGTCGAGCCTGACCTTGGTCAACCTTTCCGGAAAACATGTCAACTTGGTTCTACCAAAAAGACTGGCGAATTATCCCAACCTTTCCGGTCTCCAAGCCACTAGCTTCAACTTCAAACTTTGATGAAGTGACAGAAAAGCAAGACTTGTACATCAGCCAACTTGAAAAACACCTTCTTCTAACTGGAGAAAACTTGAGAGAATACAAGTATTTATTGAAACAAGAGAATATTAGTAAAGAGATTACACTGCATTGAAAATTAAATAAAAGAGTTTGAAGTCGTTGAAATTGAAGAGCACATCATGATCTGCAAATTAAATTTTTGTGTATTTCTTGCTGTTTGAATAAAGAGATTACACTGCACAATAAGACAAGTTTGAATGAAGATAAAGTGATGAATTTGAATTGAAAGGTTGCATATTTAAATATTGCAATTTTAAAAACTTGCAAATTGAATAGAAGAAATAAATGCAATTTTTAAACTTGCAATTAGAATAGAAAAAATGCTGTTTTAATATAGCAATTTGAATATAAAAATGCTTTTATTAATATTGCAATTTTTAAACTTGCAATTTGAATAGAAAAAAATGCTGTATTAATAGTTGCATTTTTTAAATAGAAATGCTGTTTTAAAAACTTGCAAATATAAATAGAAAATGTATTAAAGCAATTTTAAAACTTGCAATTTGAATAGAAAAAAATGCTGTATAAAAACTTTCAATTTTTCTTATCCAGAAACCATTTATAACTGCAAGTTCTCAATATGGCACATATTTGGAGTCTTCATCGTGAAAGGCTCAAAGTGACGCCGCTGAAACATCTTCTGCCGTGCTGTGATGAGATCGGCCGGGAGAACCTGACCGGACTCGACCTTTGCAAGTCTCTGTGAGCACTCTCTCATCACTCAATGGAGACCATGCTCAATGGAGTGGTCTCCATTGAGCATGGTCTCCATTGAGTGATGAGAGAGTGGATCGTACTTCCAATGTTCAGCAGCACCTTTTGAACTTTTTCAGTCTGATAACTAATCCAAACTGCGACCAGATGCCGTGCAAAGGCTCGTACTTTTGTTCTGAGGAGCTTGAGCTCTGTGCGCACCAGAAGAGTGGGAAAAGCACCAGTCTCCTTGGTTGGACCGAAGTTGCCACAAGTGGCTGAGAACTCTCTTTCGTGTCGGAATACTGAAGTAAACCTGACGCACGTTTTCGAAAAAGTACAAGGCTTTGCAAGGTTTATACAAAACATTTCTAACACTGATCGTACACGTCCAGAAGTTCTGTGAAAATTTTTTTTTCAAGTTAGACTATGGGGTACAGGAGCACGGAGGAGTGGGACAGTGCACCAGTCTCCTTGGTTGGACCGAAGTGCCACTCAGAGGTTCCGAGTGGCTGAGAACTCCCCTCCGGAAAGAGTGACCGAGGTCATGCTCGACACGAATATCCCCATGTCAAAGAGCCGGCTGGAAGCCCCCTTTCTTCTTTCTGACCGAAGCCAAGAAGAAGCTCACCCTTTTGGATTGAAAGTGAAAATCGCAAAACGACCGGTATCGACGAAGCAGTTTGATCGCAGTGGATATTTACTATGAGAAGAGGCCATTCTACTGATATCTTTCACTAGCTTGTTTTGAAATTGCTCGAAAAATTTGAAAGAACTTTGTAAAGGAAATTGAGCCTATATGGTCTTTACTTCTAGACTTGAATCGTTAACTTTCGAATCCGAAATGAAATTTTGTTACAGTATGAAAAAGTTCAGAAATGATTATGGAATGAAAAGCAATTTATGGAAGTTGAAAAAGAAGCAAAGAATAACTGATAAAACTTATTGAAGAAATGAAAGACCACATAGGAACAACTTTCAATACTCAAAAGTAACATCGAACAAAAGTTTAAAAATCCAAAAAATCAATCCAATTAACAATAGAATGGCCTCATTCTTCTCAAGTCAGGGCCCAGTGAAACGCAAAGCGGCTGTGTAGCGGCTTCCCACTAAGGTTTCATCAAGACGATTTTCAAAATTGAAGCCTCGAAATATTGAAAAAAAAATAAATGAGAACGTCAATCACCGCTCAACAGCCGCATCGAGTTCACATCTAAACTTTTCCCTATCGGACTCAAACTAGTACTGAACTACCGAACAGATCATTAAATAACCTAAAAGTCAAAAAGGGCCTTCAAAAATATATGACGAACGAACAAAACAACCGCAATAAGCTCTTTTATTATAAATAGCAATAAAAACATGAAAAATATGTAGAATGAAAGTTGACCAGCGGCTATTTTGTCCGGATGCCTTTCTCCTGAAAAAAGACAGAAAGTTCTTCGTCATATATCTTTGAGAAACTAAAAGTGAGAAAGAAACAGAAACTGACAAAATGATCCTTGTTCGAAGTCGGAACAGAACTGGGCAGCAACATGCCAGAAATTCCAAGAAATCGCGTCAAAAAATCCTTATCAATCCAACTTCATATCGTTTCTGACATGTTGCTCTGCAGCCCAGTTCTGTCGGAGGAATCGGCCGCGTTTTCTGAAAATCCAATCATCATTTAACATAAAAACATAAGAAAGTCACCTCTCATTCAGTCGAAGTACAGACACAACCGCGTATTCGAGCGGAATCTCAGGGACATGTAATCCTCAGGCAACCACAGAATTACCAAACGAAGCGTGATGTCGCCAAAGTTCTCGCAATACTATGGATCACTGAAAAATCATGGATAATCACGGAAACAAATACAGCAATTCATGAAATTTTAAAACAATAAGCATAAGAAAGAAGCAAATTTCGAAAATACAAAATAAAATTCGCTTTCTCGAACACAATATTGAATTATTTCTATCCATGACTTCGAATGATTATTCTCAAACGCTAAAGATTGATACGATTTATATAAAAAATAATCAACAATTTTCATAATGGAAAATTTTGGGCGTTACAAATTTTATAAGCATAGCATACTATCATACTTCACAATACAAAAGCCTTACGAAAATTTGAAATAGTATTAAAAAGAATCAAAATTGAATAAAAAGAAAGAAGCAGGTCTCATAATAATTTGATAATATCCTAAGTATTTTATAAAAATTGGAACGAAAGTATAGCTGAATACTGGAAGTGAAAGATTATTTATGCTAACAATTGTGAAGAAAGGCTCGCACTCAAAGTAAAATTTTATGAATTTCATAAAACTTTCTTTGAAGTTGAATATTTTAAAAAAAAATTGAAAATGAAAAGAATGACGCCATAAGAAGTTCTAGAAGGCCATGGAAGGCTGTGGAAGAATGACGCAATGTTTGGCGCCGCGGGTCAAACTACAGTCGGGAGGTCAAACGGCGCCTCTCGACTCAAGCCAACACTCGGGACCAGCGGCGGTATGGGGCGCCGAGGCTCGTGGAACGATCGTGCGGGCTTGGTAGAGTGGCGAGGCAACTCGTCCCTCGATCTGGGGACTCGGGTTCGAATCCCAGCCAAGCATTTGCCTCCCAACTTGCAGAGACTCTTGGAGTACAGCGCCGGGTGTGGACGTCACCAACGATCGATCTGGTGGCGTCCGTTTCCTGGCGCGCTTCTTCAAGAATTTATGTTCGTTGGTGGCAAAGGGGCTCGTACACCCCGAAAACTTTCTTTTTTTCGAGCAACCACAAGTTTGGCCTCGAAGTGATGCCTCGTTCAGACTCCGGGATTTCCACTCGGGAAACCTTGCAAAATATAGCTATTTCACAGGTTTGTCGAGTGGAAACCACGAAATCACTCTGAACGAGGCACAACCTTCGAGTCAAAAGTTTAGAAGATACAGCAAACGAAATAGATTATGTTAACTGCTGAAAGGAGGGTGCTTCTAGGAGTACCGGTTTTGAAGCTGGTGTTGAACATTTTCTGGAGAAGATTCGATGTCGATGCTCCGTCGAACAGCTGGAGTTGAACAGACGAGTCGATTTGGAAGTTGAAGCGAAAGACATCGGTCCAAGCAGCGTCTCATCCCCGACGTCCTTGACAAGTACCATCCTTGACGTCGTGGAACGTCACCACCATCGATCTGAAAATTATTCATAATCATCAAGAATCGATCAAGAAGTCACACATTTTCTGAGCAAATACTCCGAAATCACTCTGAAGCAGGCGCGACTTTATACTTTATAGAAACGAAAAAACTAAATTTTCTTCATAAAAGCAGAAATCCCTTTTTTTCAATACCACGAGTTCATTCCCTGGGACTGGAATTGAATAATCTCAAAAATTAATAATTCCAATCCGGACAAAAAAATCCATCAAAATATTCAAGGCAATCAGAAAAAGTGCGCTTTCATCAAATCATGGCACCAATAAAATCAATGAAACTAATTCGCAGAATCTCTATCAATAATAAAAAGAATTTTGGAAAAACAAAAAAAAAAAAATCAAACTTTCTTCACAATCCTCATGACTAACTGTATTCGCCCAGGTATTAATTTCAGGAGTTGATGAAAAAAACCAACAGTTCCTATATACAAATCGAAAAACTTTCAGCATTGCTTTGAAAAAAATTAAATTTTCGCAAAAAAATATTTCTATGAAAAAAACTTTAGAACTTTAATTTTTTTGTAATATTACTTAAAAAATAATCAAACAATTTTTTTGACTATTACTCTGGAAAAATTGTTCAAAAAAATCGTAGAAAACCAATGAAAACCCGCTCAGGACATCCAAAAAAACGAATATTCGTTTCACTAAAGTCAGTTTTGGTCACAAATTTTCATTTATTGTCGAGAAAATTCCAAAAAAAGGGGAATTTTTCGCAAATTGACACAAAAAATTGAAATTTCGTTAAAACCTAGTAAAAAATCAATCAATACAGTATTAATTTCAGAGATACAGAGAAAATATCAATTAAAACGAACAAAAAAACGCAGAAAGAAAATAAAACATGATTTTTTTGAATCGATCAAGGGGTCGGCGGCGCGAACCCTCCACACAATAACCCAGCAGGCGCCAAACGGAGGTCAAAACTTTTCAAATATCGCTTTTTTCTGTTTTTTTTTTTCTGTTCTGAAGATCCTGATTCTTTATGGCACAAAAATCATTGAATAAAACGAAAAATCATCACTATCATGTACAGAAAAAATCCCTTCAATTTTTTTCAAAATTCCATCAAATTCTCCTAAAAAGAGACTCACTCTCTTGGCTTGCAAGTCAGGTAAATTATGTGATACAGCAATTTTAGCGTTTTTTACGGTTTCCTGAAGTTGAAAAAAGGAACATGAAAAATTCGCACAAAGGTTTCGAAAATCTGTTTCCACTGTTATATTTCTTGTCATGTTAGAGTCTTGCGCCGAAAGTTTCACATAAAAAATAAAATTTTCAGTAACTTGAATTCAATTCCTAGACTCAATGTGAACACAGTGAATGCAGATAACAAAACGAAAAACAGAAAAATATCTACGCAGAAATCGTTTACCAAAAATCCTTTTGAGTATGTTTCCAAAATGTCCAGTTCTGTTTCGTGATCCTTCGACTCCAACTTCATCCCATTCAAAGATCGTTTATTTATCTAAAAAAAAATCTAAAAAATAGCTTCAATTTTGAACAATGTTCAAGAAAAAACTCAACTCGACAGAGCTTTCATTCGTCCGACTTCGAAGAAGTGATGCCGATTTGATCGCTATGAGCAAAAAAAAACTCGTTTTGATTATTTTTCTAGATGCTCATCAAAAGCGGCTTATGACGTCTGAGAAGAGAAAAAATTACACATCCAAAATCGCCAGAAGAAAAAGTACTAGAAAATCTTCAAGTCGTCAATCGAGATGTTTCAAGTTCAAATCGCGAGCTCCGTGTATGCAGTCAACGTCTACAGTAAGCCGGACATATTTTGAAATTGTCTTTCTAAAAAAAAACCAGAAGAAAGTGCGACACATTTATTAAAAATTGAGTTTACGCAACGAGTAAAGCCATGAAGGCAATCAGTGAAATATAGCCGTAATGAAGGCTATCATAGAAAAACGGAGATTTTTCTTCTTCTTCGTTTTCGTGTACTTCTCTTCTGCTTTCTCGCTTTTTGCAGATATTCTTCGACTGAAGTTCCTGAAGTCTATAGAAAACGGAATATCAAGCGAAAAAGAAATAACTTACTGGGAGAGGAGTAGGAAATGCGTTCAGCAACGCTGTCCTCAAAAGTATATTCATTCTTCCTGAATTAAAAATAATTGAATTCGAAGAAAGACAAAAATGAACACACCTTTAATAGGAGTCCACTTCATTCTAACCATCTAAGCCTTGACCATTTTTATTCTGAAAATATTACTTCATCTCAAGGAGAGAAAAACTAGAGAAGAGTCCCTCGGAAAAAAGTCTTTAGGCTACAGATAAATGACGCGAACTATACATCAGCTTATACAAAAATGGTGGAAGCGTCATTTTGAAATACTCAAGAAACATTAACCGAAAGTTTGAGGCTCCAGGAAAAGAAAAAGGACCAAGATTCCTCCAGCCACCAAGTGATCACCCCAGAGGCGCCAGCGCCCCTTAAGTGGTCACTCGAGGAGCCAGAAGTCTCCCACAGGTTCCGCCGGGATCCAAACTCACACACAATATTTTTCAGCAGCTCGCTTCTCGGGAACAGTCGCAGGCCAACGGTTCTTATTCAATGGCTTGGTCAGCTCAGCATTCCGCTTATATACTCATTCTTATCCTCGTTTTAATCTTACGCCAGCGTCATTTTTCATGAAGGGACGGATCATTAAAAATTTACACAAAGGTTTCGAAAATCTGTTTCCACTGCTATATTTTTCGTCATTGCGCCGAAAGTTTCACATGAAAAATAAAATTTTCAATAACTTAAATTCAATTCCTAGACTCAATATGAACACAGTGAATGCAGATAACAGAACGAAAACAGAAAAGATCTCACGCAGAAATCGATGGCCAAAAATCCTTTTGAGTAGGTTTCCAAAACGCCCAGTTCCGTTAAGTGCTCCTTCATCCCATTCAAAGATCGTTAAATTATCAATCAATCTAAAAAAATAAGCCTAAATTTTTTTAAATCTGATCAATTTCTGAATGCTCAGACATTCCATCAAAAAGCGGCCCACGACGGCTGAGAAGAAAGGAAGTTATACAACAACAAGCTTTCTTTTTAATAACCGTAAAATTCATCAAAAAATTTTAGGAAGGGAATCTCAAAAAAATCTCAATATTTCAGATCGGTGAAATGGAAAAAAAAATTTAAACAAAAATTACAGAACTTTTAACAGGAAATTTTTTTTACAAAAAACCGTTACGGAAATGTTCACTGAAACAGACTAGTAAGGTACATTTTTCCATTTAAAAACTACAAATGTTTTCTTTGAATATACAATACCAAGGAAAACGATACGAAACTACATTTTTCACAAAAACAAACTAAATTTTTTCCTCACAACTGTTTTGTGAGAAATTCAATAGCTTTGAAACATTGTGGGGTAGTGAAAAATCGTGTTTCTGACGACTGATTGCAATTTCAGCTTATCCCAAAATGTCTGCCTTGTTTTACGATCGAAAAACACGGTGTTTTGGTACACGGAGGAAAATGCAAAACCAAAAATAAAAAGGGCGTGGTCAAAACCTTCGCCGTTCCTTGTGACGTCATGGGAAAAACGAGTAAACAACAGGAAATATTAAAGGCGCATTAAATGGGTTATGAGACGAATCTATTTCTCCTTTTTCTGTTTCATTTTTTTTTAAACACATGCCGTTTTGGAAGTAATTCCGCGAAGATCGAAATAGCCACCAGAGTGAAAAATTCAACTGAATTTCAGAAATTCCGATATTTCGAAATTCGCGAAAATTATTTGAACGTGGCATGCGCGCGAGCGCCGCGGTGCATGCACACGACACACTACACTTTACGGAAAAAATGTGCGCGGGGCGTCGCTAAAAACGCCTTGAAAAGTGAGTTCTCCAATAATGAGGAACGAATACATTTCATGCTCCGTGGTTCGAAAAACTACACGAAAATTCAATTCTTCCCGCGAAAAATAAATAAAAACACGCCAAGCCATACATTTATGTAGGTTCGAGCACGGATGCAAAAAGACGATGTTAAATAGGAAAAAATGTCGACAAATGTCTTGAAAATCATAAAAACGCGTACGCTTGTCAACTCCTTGCTCATTCGTTGAAAATGATTGAAAATCAAGAAAAGATTAAAGAATTGAGAAGTTATAACTTTAGGGAAGAGATTTTCGTTCCCTTCAAAACTTCATCATTTCATGGGAAAAACTAAATTTTGCCAAAAAAAAACCTGATGGGAAAGTCTACACCGGCCATTTTACGGTCCTTTTGAGCTTCTGGCGCCGATTCGTCTGCAGTTTGGATACCGGAAGGCGCTTCTAGAAGAATTCAATATGATCGTAGTGGACTAATAATAATTTTGATGGGTTTTAAAAAGGTTCAAAAAAGGCATATGAGACGAAAATACTAGAGATTCGTTAGTTTTTTCCGGATAAGTTCGGAAGAATCTTCTACAAACTTCTGGGAGAATTTTTAGTGGCCACTATGGGGTTTTGACGTTTAAGTGGCCACTATAGAGGTCTAAGTGTTACTACTAGACCACTAAAAATTTTAGTGGCCACTTTAGGGGTCAATGGATCAACATAACTGGTCCAATCTGTTTGTTTTTAATTATCCGAGTTACTGGAAGGAATACTGGATGAAAAACTACTGAAGTGGCCACTAAATAGAGAACGTCTTTAGTGGCTACTAAAACAGAAAATAGTGGCCACTATAGAGGTGGGTTTAGTGGCCACTCTAGTGTCCTCTCCAAATAGTCTTTGGCGAGCCTCTATAGTGGCCACTAAACATTTTCCCAGTTACTCTAATTACTCTGAGGGCTGAATAAATGTTAAATTTCTCATCACATATTTTTGAGGAAATTTTAGGATTGTGAAGAAAGTCAAATCACCGATCGTAAAAATGCGATTCTGGTTCAAACGCAGCTTCCGGTACATTTGTACACTGAAAACAATTGACGCGATCAATAAAATCAGGAGGATCCCAGAGGAGAGGGAAGTAATGTACAGCGCGAGATCTGAAAGATCAAGTTCATGTTGGAAACTTGAAGATTATTGGTACAAGGAAAAATTGGAGCGTTTTCGGCTCTTTTTTTGGATTGACCTATTCACGAGGAGAGTAACAATTATGACAAGTGACGAGTCTGGCGCAGGAGTAGTGCGATATCGCTGGCGGCAGATCGACTTCTTCTAGGCGCGATCTCTCAACTTTTAGGGCGCGACATCGCGTTTCTCTCGCTTTTCTGACGCACTCAAGGACTGGTGTGTGACCTGGGTTTTGGGAAAAATCAAAAAAACACTTTTCTATAAAAAATCAAGGTCCTGTTGTTATATAGTTCTTCTGAAAAGTTAAAAGATCCTAAAAAAAAATTCCATTCAATCTGACCATTGCTCGAGCATTCCTTCTCGACATTCTCGACAGCTTTTTGCAGGTTCGAATTCGGGACGCATGCCTCTTGGGTCGCGACAGGAACCGACGGCTGTGTAGTCGTCAATAACTTGCAGGCTTCGAGGGTCTGGAAAAAAAATCTTATTTTCTGAAAATCCTTTTTTCGAAACGAAAAATGCCCTTTAAAAGCTTGCTAGGATGCCTAACGGCTTATAAATCATGCAGGTACTCTTCGCTTCAAAACCTTTTCGAAATTATTTCTTGTGCTCCTTTTAAAACTCCAGGAAACTTTTTTTTTAAGTGAAGCCTTTTTGACAAAATAGTACAATGCTTCATATACATTTTCTTTCATACTTTGTCACGAATTGAAATGAAATTAAGTCTAAGATCGAACTATAAATTTTTTTTAAACCATTTTCTTCAATAGCTATAGAATTTTTTTTACTGTCCTAGAAATGTATATGAATTTATCTATGAATCTAAGAATTTGCTCCTTTTCGAATGAAATCACGAATTAATGAAAAACGAGATGAAGCTATATGATGTGACATCATTGAGGGTTTCAAAACTGCTAAATTTTTCTTTCCAAAATATTTCTGTTAAGAATAGAAAGTTTGATCTGTCGTTTTTTGTGTTATTTTTAGTTTTCTAATTATTTGCTCCTCGAGAGAATCAACTTAAAACTTTGAAAACGCGGTAAAATACTTCATTAAATCTTTCTCCCAAATAAACAAAAAAAAAACCTTATTTCCCACTTTGTACAGACGATGTAGTACATCATCTAGGAGTTTTCCTTCTATCTCGATCAGTTTGTTACTGCCGTTGCAATATATTGTGACGTCATCAACTTTGATCGTTTTTAGACTTTTAAAAGTATCTTCTCCCAAGTTGGCGTACCGTAATGTCAAAGCGGGACCTACAAACGGAAGTTGATTTCTAGGCAGATTGAGAGCAGCGAAAGGCCAAATTCTAATGAAATGTAAATGTAACACCAAGTTCTCTCATTCGGTTTAGTGAAAATTTTTCGCGCAAGGAGCTTTGACATCCTAAAATGTTCGAGAACAATTTTTTTTGGAAAAGCTGAGAAAAGAATGAACTCAAACTGCGAAATTTGTTCGAAAAATGGACTTCAAATTTTTATCATTCACATTAAGAAAAATTTAATTTTTGCACTCTTAAAAACACCTGAAATTATTGAAAATGTCAGCGCATAATCTCTAGTAAGAAGATTAGCAAAACATTCAGGAGTTCCCCTTTTCTCCTTCTTGAATTGAACGTACCCGGCCCTTTGTGAACAACTTCTTTCAGAACGTCCATGTAGAACAGTGTAACGTTTCCAATCAACGTTAGGCTGCTTATCTTCGTTGCACGAAACAAATAAGAGTGGACGCCTTGATATCCCCGCGAACCATCGGCGTAGATCGTCGCTTCGGTACACGTCACAGATACGCATTCGGGAGGGACAGCGTCTCCATCTTTGTAAGCGTACATGGGACGCTGGCAGCAACTTTCTGAAAAATCGTAATTTCACTTATTGGAACTTGGTGAATTGAAACATCTGCTAGTCACATAGGCAAAGTCGGAAGGACCCTCCGAGGGTCCATAAAGGACCATAGAAATGTTCCTTTTAGGGTGATGAAGGCTCTCTTTTTGCTGCCTTTTTGCACCATTTTCTCAGCCCTTATGCACCATTTTTGCTGCCTCTCCCTTTCTCCACCATTTCTCGAGCCTTTAAAATCCCAGAAAAATGGAAGGCTCGATAAAGGGAGTCTCTTTGCTGCCTTTCGCTGCCTTTTTGCTGCCGTTCGCTGCCTTTTTGCTGCCTGTCTGCGGCCTTTTTTGAGCCTCTCCCTTTTAGCAGCCGTTATCCACCATTCCGACTTTGCCCGAGTCATTTGGTCTCAAACTTATGATCATGATACCTTGCCATATCTTTTATTTTTTAAACTATAAAGTCCAAACTACTTTTTTTAAGAGATAATCTTTCATACTACAGGAACTTCGCTTCCCCTAGATACGGAGCAAATGCAACCAGCCATAAGCTATGTGATTTTTTTTTTCTACGTATTAGGATATAATAAATATTTTATTTATTATATCTTCAACAACTACGTTTTCTGACAAAATATAACCTTTTTATACGGCTGACAGGCTTCTTTCTTTTCCTTTTTTTCAAAATAATGCAAATGCCACGCGTTTAGCGACCATCAACCGTCAAATGGCTATAGCTCAAGAAAAAAAAAGAACGCGAAAATTGTCAATCCTCTTGATCAAAAACTTACCGGTAAGAACAACAGAAAACAAGTTCATCATCGCTATCATCAAAAGCAGCTTCACATTCAAGCTACCTGCAAAAAAGCATAAAACCCAAAAAAAAAAAGACAAAAATGAACATACCCTTAACACGGTTCCACATCATTCCCGGTAAAGTTTCCTTCGCTAAAAAAATACTAATATAATTAAAAAAATATATTGTTTCTCTCAAGACTATTTGGTTTTTTTATTACAGTATACTATGTTTGTGGGGCCAGGGGTTCCTCCAGCCACCAAGAGGTCACTTAAGTGCCGCTAGCTTACGTGTTCACTTGAGCCAGAAGCCTCCCGTAGGCTCCGCCTGGATTCAAACTCACACTGATCGACGTTGGTCTGCAAGCTGGTGACTGAGGATTCGATTCAATGGCTCGATCAGCCCAGCGTGTCATTTATATAATCTCATTATATTACCACGTACGCTTCTATTTTTTCATAATTTGAAGTCGTTTCGATAATCTATAAAATAATGGTGACGAACATCCTATAGCCGCCATGATCGAAAGTCCGTTGCGGGTCAACTTTTTCATTGTGCACATGTGGAAAAACTTCAATTTTATTTTATTTTTTTAAGTGAGTGGATTAAATTATAATTATTTTGATCCAGACTGTTTATAAATTCATTGAATAACCTAAAATTCAAAGAGAGTTTTCAAAGATATATAAAGAACGAACAAAAAAAAAACCGCAATAAGCTCTTTTATTAAAATAGCAATAAAAACATAAAAAATTTGAAGAATGAAAGTTGACCAGCTTGTTGCGGCTGTTTTGTCCAGATGGCTTTGATTTCTCTTAAAATAAAACAGAACGTTCTTCGTCATAAATCTTCGAAAAACTAAAACTCAGAAAGAAACGTGAATTGACAAAGTGATCTTTGGAGTTCAAGTCACAACAGAACTGGGCAGAAACATTTCAGAAATCGCGTCAAGTCGTCCTTGAATCCAAGTCATTCCATCCACCTTGGAATCGTTTCTGACATGTTGCCCTGAACCCCAGTTCTCATGATTTTCAAGTTGTTTAGTGAACTTCTTCTACTTAAGTTACCACAGAAGTAGAAGAAGTTCACTAAACAACTTGAAATCATCAATAAATTTCATCGGAGAAATGGATCATGCTTCGAAACGAAAAATTGTGTTTATCCGAAACAGTATTAATTTTGTTTTGAAGCAATTTTTGCGTTTCGAAGCAATTTTCGTTTTGTCCGATGAACACGCCACTTATATATACTTTTGCCGTTGGTCGACTAGTCGTCAATCTTGATGTTTTCAGTTCAAGTCGCGAGCTCCGTGTATGCAGTCAACGTCTACAGTAATCCAAGAAGGTATTTCAAATGTTCCCAAAAACGCAGACACAAAATAATTTTTATTTTATTTTGCGCAACAAGTAGGCTATAAAGAAAATCAGTGAAAAAGCCGAATCGACAGCCAGTAATGAAGGTCATCAAGAAAAACCAAAGATTTTCTTCCTTTGCTCTTCTTCAACTTCCCTTCAGAAATTTTGTTGAAATCCTTCCACTGAAGGTCCTGAAACTATAGAAACAGAATATCAAGTGAAAAAGAAATAACTTACCAAAAGAGCAGCAGAACAAGCGTTCAGCATCGCTGTCATCAAAATTCGCTTAAGATTCAACCATCCTGAAATAAAATAGTTCGAAAAAAGATAATAATGAAAACACACCTTTAATACGATTCCACCTAATTCTTGGAGAAGAGTCCGCTGCTGAAAATATCAATACAGCTGAAAGAAAAAATAAACATTTATAAATTCTTGGTTTTCCCTGAGCAACTTGCTTCCGACAGCTTAAAAATCAATAAATATTTCTCAAGTAGAGTCTAATTCAATTCAAAAAGTCAAAAGATATTGTCCAAAAATATGTTCAGAGGGAATTTTCCACTTTTTGGAATGAAAAATTCACCATTATCTCCCGTCTTCTTATTTGTAGCAGTAGGAAGTTGCCCGAAGGCCTTTTCACCAGATTATTTTGACCTGAAAACACTTCCTTTATCTTGAGGATCGAAAAAGTTACAAGTCAGTTCGAGCAGAAACTAACTTTTGTGATTTTAAATTTATATTGATCCTAGAAACTTCTCTGCAACAACCTAGAATCATCAGTGAGTTAGCTGAACCCCTAGTGGATTTTTAATTGTTGGAAGAAGTTCATAGAATAAACGGGTCTATAAACTCATACGAAAAAATCGCGTCATTTCAAGTTCTAAATACTCAAGAACCCTTGACCGAAAGATCCAGGCTCCTTGGAGGATTAAAAATTGAAATCCTTCTCCAAATTTGAGCTCCCAATCGCGTCACGCTACGGTAAGATTACGAGTTACTACAAAAATGATAGAAGCCTCATTTTGGGTTCTAAAATACTCAAGATACAAAGTTTCAGGCTCCAGGAAAAGAAAAAAAGAGCCCAAGGTTCCTCTAGCTACCAAGTGATCCCCCAAGTGGCACCGTCGCCCCTTAGGTGCTCACTCGAGGAGCCAGAAGCCTCTCGCCGGGATCCAAACTCACACTGAATATTTTGCTGCAGCTTGCTTGTCGAGTCGCCGACCAACGGTTGTTATTCAATGGCTATACAGCTTAGAATTCCGCTTATATACTCTCCTTTTTATCCTCGTTTTAATCTTACGCCAGCGTCATTTTTTCATAATCTAGGTCATTTCGATAATTTACACAATTCTAAAAAGCCTGAAAGCCAATAAAAAACAGCCTAAATCACTCATCACTAGGAAAATTGAAAACACGCGGCGTTTTTTTCAACCCGCAAGGCAACGCTTTCCGTAAATCTTCACGGCGTTTTTTTCGGTTCGTCAGTCGAAACGTTCCGTGAATTTTGGTAGTTATGGTGTAAACACACCGGGACGCATTATCGCATACTCCAAAAATGTTTTTTTTCCAATTTTTAAGTTTGGAATATTAAGCTAGTGGCTTCCGAACATTATAAAATATTCTCTATTCGAAAAATATGAAGTTGAAAAACATTTGAACAACATATTAAATGTATAGAAGCGATCATAAAAAGGTAAAAAAACTCTAAATTGCGAATAACGAAAGAAAAACAGAACATATTGTTCTGATAGGTTGCCTCGCGTCCGAAAATCGATAAAAATATGAAAAACTTCAGAATAAACAAAAATTGAGAAAAGCCCCGAAAAAAAGAATAATTTTTCATACCTTGCAAATTCCGCTTCAAAAAGTCGAATAATGAATAGAAATCGAAAATTTAAAACCTTGGAGAGCGAAATGTTTAATATAATTCGAAAAACCATCAGAGAAATAGAAAAAATAATGTAGTTTGAATTAATTATAAAATAAAACTTTAAACTGCCATGTCTAGTTCAATTTGTCTCTAATTTACACGAAATCGGTTTCTAAATACGTCAAAGGAACTGGATAATAACTTTTGCTCAATGAAAAAACGTCAAACAAAGTATTAATAAAGTAAAAAGCCGAAAAGATGCTTTTTTTTCAATTAACCCTTTCCGTAAATCTTGAGAGATCTTTAAAGGGTCGGCCTTGTAATCCAAAAACGGGTCCTGAACAGATCAAAACTACAGTACGATTTACGGCGCCGGCCCTTGGTATTTTTTTCCTGCATTTTCTTTCACTGACAAGAACGCCGTGGAAGTAAAAAATACTCACCACGAATTCCTACTTTTCTTGTTTCTCTTAGTAAGATGTCCTTATCGATGGAGCACATTTGAAGGAAACAAAAAAAAAATGACAACATTCACCAACGGATAACGCATTTTTCAACGCGAAGGTTCTTCACACTTTTCTTCAAAACAAAAAAAAAAACAAACAAATACTTTATCAACAAATAATGAGGAAAGAATTTAACAACATTGGGATGAATCGCACCGTATTTGAAAGAACTAATAGAGGGGAAATTGAGCAAATCGATGAGTTGAAAGGCAAAAAAAGAGAAGTTTTGGTCCAATTTTTTTGATGAAAACGGCCTGAGAATCAAGTTTGAGACGAAAAAATCGAAAATCCATGCAAAATTATTTTTTTTTTTGAATCCTTGATATTAAAGAAGACCCAGGGATCGATAAAATGTAAGTTTTTGATTCCATAAAATCGAATTTTGATCAAGAAAAAGGCCTGAGAAGTTTTTAAAAAAAAGAGGCAGTGGGAAGGGATGAAAAAAGACGAATACTTGAAAGATCCTAGTGAAAACGAAATATTTACACTCGTAATGCTCATCTTACAGTATATGGGGGACGGAGGACCCGTTTTTTCTTGGTCTATGGCGGGTTTTTGGGAGGCAAAATATATGATTGAGGTGGGAAAGTGGGAGAAATTCTCAAGATTGCAATTTTCAGAAGGATTGTAATGAAATATCGCTTGAAAAAAGCTTCCTTCCGCGTTTTTTTTTTTCAAAATTTATGGTTTTTGGAAGGCTTTTTGATCAATCTTGATCGATTTCATTAAAGAAGGGAGTAGAAACCTCTCAAAATTGCAATTTCAAGAATTTTTCGACAAAATATATATGTTTTGATTAATCCTGATCGATATCATCAAAGGTGGACAGCTGGAAGTCGCCGAAATTGTTGCGGATGTCCCGGGAAAGGGCTCGCATTTCGTCGATGGCCAGACCTTCGCTGTCGCTCCGCATCTCGTACTCGTTCTCGTAGCCGATCGAATGCGTCGACTTCCATCTGAACATCTTGCAATTTCAGTACTGACACTAAAAGTAACGTCAAGCTTTTCTATTTGACTTTTATCCTGGAATGAATCAAGTTCACGAAAGCGATATAGTGCGAGACTTTCGCGATGTCGCGCCGAGACTTTCTATCAGGACACTTTGAAGTCAAATTTTGATAACTGGCAAGAAAGTTCAAGTAGAAGGACCATTTCTCTCCTTTTCTTTTTGACTTTTATGAAAGCGATATAGCGCGAGACTTTCGCGATGTCGCGCCGAGAGGCGAGCGATACTGCGGCACCTTGCTACTTCATTGAAGCTTTGGACAGAGTGATCAAAGAAATAAAAATCTAATATTAGGGACTATATCGCAGTATCGCTCGCCTCTCGGCGCGACATCGCAAAAGTTTCGCACTATATCGCTCTAAAAAAAAGTTTCTAGAAGTCCCAACCTCTTCGTAATCAAAACAACTGGTTCAAGAATTCCAAAAGGGTCTATTTCGAGGCATTTCTCAGAAAAAAGCATGTTTCACAGCTTAAGCCCATCTTCATCTAGGAAGGAGTAATCTGACCCCAGAAAAGTCTCAACCTTCGTAGTCAGAATTCCGTCAGAAAAGTCACCTCAACGGCTCGAGATCCATACTTCCGGCATGACTGCTGCATTGGGACTCGCTGTCGGCGTCGGCGGCATCGCGTCGCCACCGACGATGTCGCTGTCGCTTCTTGTCGCGGGGTCTGCAGGCGATTCTTGTTGGAAACTATTCAAAGAGTTCCGATGTTACTTTGAATTCTTATGGTTGCCGTTGGACTCGGCGTCGGAGAGGGCGGCTTCGGACTCGGCGTTGTCGTACTCGGTGTGGCAGGCCGACGACATCGCTCGGTGGATCGATTTCACCGAACCGAAGGCCGTCGGGAACGGTTGGTATCTGAAAAGGGAGAAGTTGAAGGATAGTTCCTTGTAAAATTCCTCAAAAAACCCACTCCAAAGGCTTGACGTCGGCAAAATCGCCATAGGCGTTGAGTTCCTGAATCATGCGGTCAACTCGGGTCGCCGCGGCTTCTAGACGTTCTCGTGGGTCTCCAGTCGATTCTCCGTCGGCCGAGGTGCCCTGAAACGGTCGAAAATCGGATAAATCCGGGGAAGGTAACCAGAAGGGGGTTGGAAGGTTTATGGAAGTTAGAAGATCTTGAGAAAGCCTTTGAAAGGTGTTCGGAAGGAAATAATGGAAAATGCCTGCCAGAAGCATTCCAGAAGCCTGATGCAAAGCTTTTGGAAGGCTTCCGGCAGGCTTTTTTTCTAAGATGACGTCCGACCACTTGCTGGAAAGCTTCCAAACGACTTCCGAGAAGCCAAAAGCAGATCTTCCCAACTTCTACTGGAGTGACATACAGGGTAAAATAATTTTTGAAGGCCGGCAGAACTTTCTCCCGAGTACTTTGAATTGGAAGTCGTTACTACCAGGGTCGCAAGTCATTTTTTTGAGACCGAGACGAGAAAATTTTCCCAAAGAAATATCAAGACGATGAGGAGAATAAAAGTCTCGAAAATCGAAAAATCGAGACGATTCTCGTGCAGCCCCGATTACCACCCCCCGAGATTAAAATTTGTGAATTTTGCTGCTAACACTACCTCCTAAGCTTAGAAACAATTTTCTTAAGTGTTTCGCTCAATTTTTAAAAGCCTGAATCTCCTCTCGGACAAATTGACTTCTCTACCCGCCCATCTATGATTCTGAGATCAGTTCTCTAGACTCTGAGCAAAAAAATACCTTTCTGAAAAGCCCAAAGGCGTGCCTCAACGAGTTCTTCGACGAGGGACGATGCCATCGGCGGTGCTTGTCTGCAATTTTCATATTCTCGAGGGGAAAGAAAAATAATAAGTAATTTGGGGGACTTTCTCAGAAGCTTTTTTTGAAACTTGAAGGTTTTGGGTCAGTTGGTATCTGGAAATGAACAAAATTTGAAAATCTCCTAACCTAGGGAAGAATTTAAAACTGGTTAATGTTTCCGAATCCTTCTTCTTGTTTCTGCCAGAGACTAAAAATTTTAAGACTTGACATTTTTCGGGTGTCTGCGTTTCTCTGATCCCTCACCGGCAAGGTCAGAGAAACATGGGAATAGCACGTAAACATGAGAGATAAGGAGGGCGCAGAGAAGCTCCGTCCTTTCAAGTTTTCCAATTCACTCACAAGAAGAGCGACTAGCGGCCCTGCTTTCCGGCTCAGAATAGTCGGAATAACATCGGGTGGCATTATCGTAGTGTTCAGAGCCGCCTCGACCGCCGGGCTCCCTGTAGGGGTCATAATCGATGTTCCGCGTCGACCGCTTCGCCGACCGCTGCGCAGCCGTCTCGTTCATCAGCGCCGTCTCCGGCGTGATCCATTCTACAATTATCTCGAGTTTAAGGTGAATATTTGGAGGAAGAAGTAGAAAATTTTGTTGTCAACTCACCAATATCACTATCCGTCTCGGCATCGCCATCAATCGACCGGAGTTCCGAAGAAAAGGAAGAAGCCATCGATGAGGCGATCTGAAGAAAAGTAAAGATAAAGCTTAGAAAAAATCAACGCTTAAGAAGAAACAAAAAGTGAATTCGGAACTGAATGGGAGGGGGTTAGGATAAACTTTGAATCACTATAGACTTTCCAGCTTAGCAAAAGCTCAAAATCTTAAAACAAGGCCAAAATTTTCGTCAAGCCCAAATCTGAAGCTTATACTGCTCCTAAAATTCTTCCAAAGGACTTCTGGAGGTCCTAAGGATCCCTAAACCAACCTCAGAGGTCTGCGTGTCGTACATGAGCCTGGAATGGGCCATCTGCGCGTCGATCATGTACTGGGTGTGCTTGAGCTGCTCCTCGCGCGGCATCGTCGGCGGTTCTGGCGATGCCGCTTCGACGGTCGTCGCCCGGGCGCCGGTGAGCAGCTCGTAGGCGTTTAGGTTGGGGAGTACCTAAAAATCCAAGTTTTTTTTTAAATTTAATAATTTGAAGTTTGAGGTCAGTCCTTTCAAAAGGGAGGTCAGTTAAGTTTTCGGTGGGAATTTCTTGAAAATTGGCCAAGGAACTCCTTGATGAACCAGGGAGAGATCCTAGGAATCTCAACCCGGACAACTTCCTGAAATTTGTTAAATGAGGGCTCAAAGCCCCAAAGCCCACTTTAATGGATTTTGAGGTTTTTTTTTGACTTTTTGTTGGACTTTCTCAAAGGTTAGGAATTTGTGCAGGTTCAGGATCTGCTCTTGGTACATCAAAAAGCAATCTGGCTATTTTTCGAGAAATTCCCAACCTCAAACTGAAAAGAAGCTTCAAAACAGTTATTATCCATTCAAAGAACCTTTACTTGAATCAAAAAGGTAGAATTCTTGAATCCTCTTTTTTTCATCAATTGGCGAAGCCACACAGCGATTGGCGCGAAAAAAAACTTGAAAATGTACTGAAGTAGGCCGCACTTTTTTTGGGGGGCAGGCCGAAACCTGGGGTGGGATCCAGCCGACGTATGGGCAAAGCTTAGTTTTATAAGAAGCCCTCGAAAATTCTCATAAAACTGCTCTAATCGAGAAAAAAGGAAAAAAAAAGCTCGAAAATTCCAATTTTTAGAGGAGCTGAAGCCGTTGGGAAGCTCCGAAATAGTTATTTGACAGCTATATTTGCAAAAAACCCCTTGATTTAGCTCAAAAACATACATCGGCTGGATCCTAGCCTAGCCTTTTGCGCGCGAAAAAAAAAATTTGAAATTGTACTGGTATAGGCCGCACAGTTCAAGGGGAAGAGGGGGGCGCACTTTTCTTTTCAAGGGGAAGCCAAAAAGGCCTACTTTAATGGATTTTGAGGTTTTTTTGACTTTTTATTGGACTTTCTCAAAGGTTAGGAATTTGTGCAGGTTAAAGCTTTCTGTTCGAGGGGAAGGGGGGTGGGATCCAGCCGACGGGCTCAAAAATCTTAAAAATCATGCCGTGTTCAAAGTGATTCCGCGGAATGCAAAATAGTCGTCAGAGAAAGAAAAATATACCTAAACTTCGGAGAATCAGAGACCATTTTGAAATTCGCGGAAACTACTTTGAAAGTTTGTAAATCACACGTAATTGAGCTACCAACTGTCGAATATTAATCAAACGAGATAAATTTAACTCCAGAAACAGCAATCTTCCGTAACTTCTTTCAAAAATGTTACCTTGAAAGACTCGAGGCTGAAACGAAGGGGTCTCGGCCTCAGGGCGAGGTAGATTTCTTCCGAAACAAGGATCGTGTCGTGTCCGGCTGCCTGGAAAAATCATTTTTGATTTCTGAAAAAAAAATCTATGATAAAAGCCTCAAAACCTTCTGAAAACGGTCTAAATAACTCATTTTTTTTTACATATTTTTTCTTTTAAAATTCATTTCCGCTGTACTTTGAACACTCTTACCTGCATCAGAACCCTGGATCTTTCAATAGTTTCGCCGAAAAGTTCATAATGCGGCTGTTCAGTGTTCGCCACGACGGCCAATGCACTGCCGCAGTCAACTCCTGGAAAAAGTTCATTTTCCTTGAAAGGCGTACAGAATAAATGGATAAAAGGTCCAAAAAAATGAATTTAAAAAAATCGACTGAATGTTGTTGGCCGCACTTTTCGGGAAGAGGGGGAGGGGTAGGTTGCACTTTTTAAGGGGGAGTAGGTTGCACTTTTTAAGGGGGAGTAGGTTGCACTTTTAAGGGGGGGTAGGTTGCACTTTTTAAGGGGGAGGGTAGGTTGCATTTTTAAGAGGGGGAGGGGGTAGATTGCATTTTTTAGGTAGGGCCAATAATTACTAATTTGGACATGAAAAATCGTTATTGGCAGCAAAATTGGCACAGATTTTTGAAAGAAAAAGCTCAATTTTTTTGGTTCTGAAGCCGTTTTTTTCGTATATTTTTATCCGTAAAAGTGTCTAGTTCTTCTTTTTTTCTTAATTTTTTTAGGAGCTCAAGGGTCAGAAAAACCTTGAAAAAAATCTCATAAAAATCTTAAAATGTTACCAATTTGGTCATGAAAATCGTTGTCGGCCGCAAAATTGACACAGATTTTGAGGAAACAACTCAATCAATCAATTCTTTCGATACTGAAGCCGATTTTTCTTATACTTTTTTTCCGTAAAGGGCTCTAACTTTCCTCTTTTTTATTTTTAGAAGCTTCTAAGGGCCAGAAAACCTTGAAAAATCCCACAAAAGACCCCAAACAAAAAATCCGATTTTTCATGAACTTTTCTCAGTAAAAGTCTCTAATAATCCTCTTTCAGATTTCAAGAAGCTTTTATAGTCCGTTCGGCGCGACTTGGCAGTTTTCGCGTGTCTGCGTCTCTCTGTTCCCTCACCGACGAGGTCAGAGAAACATGGAAATAGCACGTAAACATGAGAGGGACGTCGAGAGATAAGGAGGGCGCAGAGAAGTCCCGCCCTTTCAAGTCGCGATAAACGGACTATAATAGTTTAAAAACTTTGAAAAATCCCAAAATATTACCAATCTGAACGTGAAAATCGTTGTCGGCAGCGAATTGGACGATATGGAGCAGGAATTGGGACAAAGTTGAGAGAAGTTCGCCGATCGTCCAGGGCGTTTCAGTGACCTACAGTTCATTCTTGTTACATTTTCTGGAAAATCTTTAAAAAGCGAACATTTTGACCAGCATCCGGTAGCAATCCGACCGCGACAACGTAGAATCGGTTCGCGTTTTTGACTTTTTCGACGCCTTTGTAGTTGGCAACCGTCTGGAAAAATCCCGTTTCTCATGATATATTTTTTCTTTTTTCTTGAAAATCTATTTTTTTTTATTCATTTGACCATATTTGGGCATTTTAGCCATTTTTAAAAACACAGAAACACACCGCGCAAGGGAAGCTTCCCGGAAGGTTTCTAAAGTCCGGAGGGACCTAAAAATCGTGAAAAGCTGGAATGGGCTATAGCTCATTCTTGCGCATTCTATGTGGTCTCAAATTCCCTTAAAATTAAAGGCGCATGGACAGAAAAAAGCCAGGCGCATTTGAAGGGAAGGGTTCTGTAGAAAAAAAAACTCGAGCAAGCTGAAAAATGCCTCAAAAAAGACGTTTTTTTTTTCAATTTTGGGCAACATTTTCAACTGTTTAGCATCTGCTTCTCTTCTTAGCAATTCCAGAGTGGTCCCTATGGGGATTAGGGGGAGCGGTAACAACCCTAAAATGGACCGAAAAAGTGGTCCCTATAGGGGTCTCAAGCCTTAGCCCCTAGAGCTCAAGTGGGTCATTCAGGGATCTTTCAATTCCCTTTAAAAACGCTTATTTATTTAATTTTTCTCATGAAAGTGCTTCTTCGCTCAGAGCTTATAACAATTGTCGACTAGGATGTCCCCTATAAGGGGCCAATTTTGGAAGCTTTAATGGACCCTATAGGGCTTGGCAAAGTGATTCCTAGAGGGGAACCTCAAAGGGCCCATTAAGTCCATAACAAATACCGACTATGATGTTCCCTAGAGGGGCCACTTTTTCAAGTCCCTTGAGGGGACGTTTAAGAACCTTGAATGTTGCCCCTATAGGGACCACTCTGTAGTGCCTAACTTTCTAGATGCTCTAGATTTTTCTACTTATTTTCCAAAACCAGGATCGGTGTGTGCACAAATTCAGCCTACAGTACGCGAAGTGAGACGAAATAAATTTCTGAGTTGATTGCAAGGAAATCTTCCCGAGACTATTGATGGATCATCCGAAAAAGTAACCTGATCAAAGTAGGAGAAGACAAAGTTCAGTCCGTTGATTCCGGCCTCGCCTTGCAGATCGAACCCGGAAACAGCCAGGTAGGCGATTCCCACTGGAGAAACAATATTATTTCAAGTTCTTATATCAAAAAAATTGATACTTCAAATTAAATCTAGTGAATTTTATGTTTCGATTCTATTTTTATCTACCTAAGGGAATGAAAATCACGATCGAGCATGATTTGCTCTGAAAAATCAGCCTTCTAATCTTAATTTTCAAACCGCCCGTGTTTTACAAGCATCTGCAAAGCTTCTCACTTAAAAATAACTCTAAATAAAGCTTTTTAAAACTTTCAAAAAGAACCCTCAAAGACCAACTTTTGAAACTTCTCAAAAATCAAAAAAATTCTATTTTTTTGATATCACCGTCCGCACTTTAAAAAAACCAAGAACATGGAAACTAGGCTTTAATAAAAACAATTTTTCAAGTATCTTTATACAAAAAACCTCGATTTTTGTTGAAAAACCGCACTTTACAAGCCTAAAATTCATCTAAAAAGCTACAAAAATCTCTTTTTCCTTCAAAAAAAACCTACTTTGACTTGAATTTTTGGTAATTATTCTAGACTTAAAAGCCTAAAATCCATCAGAACCGTGGAAACTGTGCTAAATAAATCTTTGTTTCTTCATTAAACCTTCAAATTGTCAACCGTCCGCACTTTACAATTTCTCAAACTGACCGGAATGATGAGCATGATGCCAGAGGTCTCCATTTTTGGCGACGACCGCCGGCGCCACGTGAATCGGCACCAAGTTCAGCAACATCTGGTTGTTGAGCATGATGAACTTGTCTTTGGCCAGCGATTCTTCCATTCCCTGGAAGAAAATGGCCTTTTCAGTCATTCAAAACTTGAAAATTCATTAGAAAATTTATTTATAGCAGTATCAGGGTGCTTGTGAGAGGGCCGGGCCGTCAGCCCTATGGATCTCTAAAAAACGTTCCCTAGTAAGGATACATCTAAAAACCCTCAAACAAGTACGAAAAGTCCCCCAACACCCCCTTATTTTCCGGGACATCAATCAACCGGAAAGTATGATGGATCGCCGGTTTTTTTCTCTCCCGGATCCGCTGATTTCACTTTTCGCCTCAAAAAGTTACACAGTGGACCTCGGGGTGTGTTGGCAACACTTGTCCGTCCGCAGTTTGCTTTTCAAATCAATCACGACGTCCGGAAATTGCGGCGGGTAGTCGAAAAAGAAGTGCAAATGGTGTTGTGAAATCGCAAGACGTTTTGAGAAGCTGAGAACTGGTCAGAGACCTTTTTCGAAGAATTTAGGAGATCAGATGATTTTCAATCTCGGACCTTGGTAACGCGAACGGGACGCGAATCGGACGTGTCGGGGCATTTCTAGTGGCCAATTTAGTAGCCTCAGAACTCTTAAGTGATCCCTAGTATCGCGCAGAAACGTCCGGAGCACGTCCGTTTCCCGTTACCAATGTCCGAGACGTTTTGAAATTGGCTATAGAGCGCACAAGTTCGAATTTTTGTGGCTCTTTTAAAAAAGTCTATTTTTTTGAACGGTAAAACTTTCGATTTCTCAATAGAGCACATTAAACCTGTCCATTGCACAAAATTAAAATGTAGTGTCTTTTCTCCGCAAATTTTTTCTTTTAAAGCCTAAAGCCCCTTAGATTCTCAATAGAGCACACAAAATCTGTCCATAGAGCTTAAAATTTTTCATCTTTTTCGCTAGCCAAAGAGAGGTGAAAACTCATAGATCTCATAAAAATTATCGACTAGCATGTCCCCTAGAGCTCACCAACTAAAACCCCTTCAAGAACCCTTTTGCAAGCTTCAGTGGCCCCTATAGGTTTCGGCAAAGTATTCCCTAGTGTGGAACATCCAAGAGCCTCTAATGTTTCCCCCATGGGGCCTTTTCTCCCAGAATGTTACCATGAAATCTCTTTTTTTCTTCGGTACCAACTTTGACGACAGCCAGGAAGTCAAGCCTCAGGAGCTTCTCACAGCGTCGGACTTGCAGGTAGACCATCACAGCCAGGGTGCAAAGGTAGCACGTCAAATCAACTTCTTCCACAAATCTGAACTTCCTAATTTTTCTCTCTCAAAAGATCATAATCTATCAGACTGTCACTAATTTTAGTGGCCACTATAGAGGCTCGCCAAGGACTACTTGGAACGAACACTAAAGCGGCCACTAAACTCACCTCTATAGTGGCCACTTCAGTGGTTTTCATTCAATATTCCTTCCAGTAACTGTGATAATTTAAAAAAAAACATATTGGATCAGTTATGTTGATCCATTGACCCCTAAAGTGGCCACTAAAATTTTTAGTGGTCTAGAAGTAGCCGTTAGACCTCTATAGTGGCCACTAATTTGACTACTATAGTGGCCACTAAAACTTCAAAACCCTTTAGTGACCACTAAAAATTTCCCAGTAATTTTTTTGAATTCCCACAGATTCGGAATAAAAAACATTGTGAGATCATTTTTTTTTGAATTTCATAATTTCATAATTTCCGTGAAACCGGCAACTCATCCAGTCACAACTGTCGGTTTTTCTCGAAATTTCAAAAGCTTTGGGTTCAAAAAGATGTAAAGCTCAGCAATTAGTGACTCATTCAAATTTCTTCTAACTGGAGATTTCGAAAAAGCGGGTGAAAATCCGTAGAACACCAAAAAATTATAGCTTCAAGGACTGAGAAGAATTGAAATTTTGGGCAAATCAAGGCTTTTTTCAAGTCAATTTCTTCTAAAAAATTTTTATTGCGCTTTTCTTTGCTTTTTTTACACAGCTAAAATACGAAAAAGCTATTTTCTTTATTAAAACTTTTTTTTACACAACTAGCCTCATTTGAATCATGATATTCACTATTCCGAAGCCCATAAAAAGCTAAAAATCCTCAAGAAAAACTGGAAAATCTCTGAAAACATTTACAATGAAGGCGAGGCTATTTTCTGAGGCTATTTTTCCACTTTTTAATCTTCCTACCTCATTTGAATCATGATATTCACTGTTCGGAAGCCAATAAAAATCTGAAAAATCCCCGAAAAACCAACTCTTTGGCTCCAAAAGGCCCAGGCCTGGAGAAGTAGATTTGGGCTCCATAGGTGGAAACGGCCAAGATGAGAAGGCCGGCCAGATAAATCGACGAGAAACGGATGAAAACCGCCGTCGTCATGATCCACATGGCGAAGGAGAACGTCGAGAAGTGAGCCTTGAAAAAAATAATTTTATTTTTTTCTTTTTTTATTCAAGAGTTGAATATTATAGTTGATTCACGGCCAGCTTGGGACGCTAAGGGGGCGTGGCCTGTCTGCGCTCTCCAAGAGCCAGGCGCTATTTCGGCATTTTCGTGTCAGGACCATTTTTTCGATGGCTCAAGCCAAAATCAGCCACGAAATTTCAAGTCCGCAAATCTTGAGGACCGTAAGTCTGTGTATGCAGATCTTAACGAGCATAATCTTGGAAACCAAAATCTTGGAAAAAAGGATCTAGGAAAACAAAACAAAGGGCATTTTTTCATGTTAAAAAGGCTGAAAAAGGCAAAAAATCAGCATTTTTTGCGGCTTGACATGCCGTGGTCGCACTTGGAATGGCTCAAAGTGGGAAAAACTGATTTTTGCTCTGATTAAAATTCAAAAATAAGTTTTTCGCGCCAAAACCTCCTCAACTACTCACTGAAAATCGTGAATTTCTCCAAAAATAGTTCAGATAAAGATAAAAATGACCAAGTTTCTAATGCCGTGTTCAAAGTAATTTCCGCGAAATGCAAAATGATCTCTGACTCTCCAAAATTTAGTGATCTTTTCCTTTCTCTAACGGGTATTTTGCATTTCGCGGAAATTACTTTGAACACGGCATAAATCAGTTGGATCTTGCGAAAAGAGAAAAATCTGCTTTGTTTGGGATTAAATAAGTCACTCCAATTGTGGCCGCACTTGGAATGGCTCACAGTTAAAAAACCGATTTTGGCTTCGAATAAAATTCAAAAATGAGCTTTTCGCGCCAAAACCTGTTCAATTTTCCACTGAAAATCTAATTTTTTCCCAAAATAGTTTCTAAACCGGTTGGATCTTGCAAAAAAAAATCTGCTTTTTTTGGGATATTTCGGGATTGTGGCCGCACTTGGAATGGCTCGACGCATTCGGACCAAACTTGACCTATCGAAATCCGTGCAGCGCAAGCCGTTTGAAGTCGGGCGCGTTCAACATCAACTAATCCAGGTGAGGCCATGTTATTTTGAGTTATAAGCAAACATTTATCGGAACAATATCGCCCATTTTTTGAAAAGCCAGCTTTTGAACTAGACGTGAAACGTAGGAGTCAAAAATTTCATTTCTTCGTCCTTTTTCGACTCATTTTCTCTCATCGAAAAATGGGTCCTGACACGATAAAAAATGAGACAGTGTCTGGTTGGTAGAGAGTGCAGACAAGCCCCAAACTTTCTAAAAAAAAAGTCCCAACCTTCTGGCAGACATCCAAGGCGTTTGGCTGTGGACAAGAGAACTAAAAATTCTTGGATCCCAAAAATTTTTATCAAGAAATTCCTACCGTATTCACGACGCCGCAGAGGAAAAGTACAGTAATGATGAGGAGTATGGTTACAGTATGACCGGCGGAAGTTCTCGTGATGAATTGGGAGAAGCTCTGGAGGAAAATTTGGACTTTTTCTGGATTTTAGGTCAAAACCAACATGGAAAAAGTCAATGTAGAGCATTAGAAGAATGAAAAACATCAAAGTCAAGGCGATAACGATCAAAACGAGGCTTGAAATCAGTCTGAAACTTGATAATAGCCAAGAAAAGGGAAGAAAAAGATGAAGAAAAAGCTTTTTTCGGAAAAAAATATTTTCTTCCTTACAGCTTGATATACACTAGGAATAGCTCGATATCTCTATCAAAAAAACTTGAAAAAAATATCTACATTAGGCCTAAAAAAATACCGTAATTTTCAGTTGTAAACAATAAAAAAATAATAAGTTAACATTAAAAAAACAACGATTTTAATTAAAAAAAGAAAAACTTTTAACTTAAATTTGAAACAGCAAAAGTTAGGATAAAGGTCTTCAAAAAATGAAAAAATTTTTTTGGTGATCCAGACCTACAGTACCCCTGAATTACGGTATTTTCGGTCTTTAATTACGAAAATAATAAATTATTAAGGTTCTCAGTGAAAAACAAGTCCAAAAAGGTAGAAAAATCCGAAAAATCGGGTCGTTATGCTCATTAAGACCTACAGTACCCTTAAATTACGGTATTTTCCGGGATTTAATAAAAAAAGGAATTTTCAACGATCTCAGTGAAAAATAAGTCCAAAAAAGGAAGAAAAATCAAAAAAATCGGGTCTTCCGGTCAACTTCAGTAACCACTACAGTACACCTTAAACTATTCCAATATTAGAAAATCCTTCCAAAATTAAAAATTGATGATTTAAGCTCTAATGATGGCCTTATTTGTCAGAATTCGTTTTTCTTTCTCTGTCACTCTCTCAATTCTCCCCACTCTCTCCGTCCCACCGTACCTCGGCATGACGAGCATATGGTAGATACCGTAAACCACGAGGAAGAATATGGAAATGGCCAACGCCGGGATGAACCATTGGTCCATCTCTTTGTGGTACTGAAAAAACGGTATATTTTTCAAAGGCTACGGTAGGGCTACAGTGGGCTACAACCTCCTGTTCGAGGTTTTCGTTGCGAAACCGTTGGGAAATCAGCGAAATTATTGTGGAGCCGTCGGATTTTGCCTCGTTGATGAAAAGAGTTTCTCGTTCTTTCTCCAGCTTCCTGGGAAGATTAATATCCAAAATTGTTCAGTTTCATGAGAGAAAACCGTTTTTTATTGGTTCCGAGGGTTTTCGCCGGGTCCAAAGTCGAGACACTTTGGAGGACTCTGTTGATGGCCTGGGGGACGGTGACAAGGGAAAATCTGCAAGATTTTAAGAGTGAAAATCGGATTTTAAATTGAAAGCTTCATGGACCTTCAACTCGAAGAATCTTGAAAAAAAAAAATTCCTTTATGTAATGAAAAACAAAACTTGCCGGGAAAATTTTAAGTGGCCCCTATAGGGTTTTGACGTTTTAGTGGCCACTATAGTAGTCAATATAGTGGCCACTTAAGGGGTTAAAAAATAGTGGGCACTATAGAGGTCTAAATGCTACTACTAGACCACTAAAAGTTTAAGTGGCCACTTTAAGGGTCAATGAATCAACATAACTGGTCCAATCTGTTTGTTTCAAAACTATCAGAGTTACTGGAAGAAATACTGGATGAAAAACTACAGAAGTGGTCACTAAAACGGAAAATAATGGCTACTATAGAAGTGAGATTAGTGGCCACTTTAGGGTCCTCTCCAAGTAGTCCTTGGCGAGCCTCTATAGTGGCCACTAGAAACTTTCCCAGTGAAGCTCAAAATGTTCACAACTCGAAAGTGATTTTTCTATTCTGTTCTCGGACTTTGGTAACGTCAACCGGAGGAAATTGGGCGGGCGTGTCGGGGGACTTTCTAGTGACCACTCTAGTAGCGTCCGTACTCTTAAGTGATCCCTAGGAATGCCGAGAATCGTCCGTAGCGCGTCCGGTTCTCGTTACCAAGGTCAATATTTTTCTTTATCATCCGAGCGCACTTTCCCCAGTCAGAAAAAAGTCCTATTATTAATTGTAGTCATTTCAAAGCATAGCAAATTTCTCTCTTTCCTCATTTTTTTCCAGCAGAGTGCCTCGGGTCTGACCAGCTCTATCGGATAGTATGAAATTTTCGACTTTTGAGGGTCCATAACTTTTTTCACAGACATATATGGGAGCTTTTGAGACTAGATTTGGAAGGAGCGTGAAAAACTACGTCTAGAAAACATGGTCTAATTCAGAAGTCCCACTGTGAGCTGAGAGCATTCCCTGGTTAACCTAATATTTCCTAAGGACTACTTAGAGAGTACACTAAAGTGGCCACTAAACCCACCTCTATAATGGCCACTTCAGTATTTTTTCATTCAGTATTCCTTCCAGTAACTCTGATAATTAAAAAAAAAACTGATTGAACCCGTTATGTTGATCCATTGTCCCCTAGAGTGGCCACTAAATTTTTTAATGGTCTAGAAGTAGCCCTTAGACCTCTATAGTGGCCACTAAAACGGCAGAACCCTATGGTGGCCACTAAAAATTTTCAGTTGAAGAAAATGAAAGTTGATTCATAAAATGGAGTAACAAGAGACGCTATAAATAAAAAAAAAACTGAGGAGCTCCATTTGAACTTTCGACATAAAATTCTGATTTTATTCCTTCTTTTTATCATCCGAGCGCACTTTCCCTTGAGAAAATAACCTCTTATTGATGGGGAACATCTCAGAGCAGGGCAAACTGCAGCGGAGTCTCCAGCCGACCCGGGCACTTTCCACCTCGAAATCGGCGCCGATCAGTCGCCTCGCCTCGTTGGTGACGTAGACGCCTCTGAAACAGGAAAGCCGCGACGCATGATTGACGCGTCGCGGTCGTCACTCACTCTCCGGCCGCGTTGCTCTGCAGCAGAATCGCGTTGTCGATCGTCGGTCCGATGACGTCATAGTGCCATTTGGTCGAGCCGACGACTCCCGCCGCGATTGGGCCACTTGAAGGACAGGGTTACGGTATTTTGGAATTCTCTATTTTTTTTACTTGAAAACGTTTTTTTATCCAAATAGTAAAAATTAATACATCAGAATTCATTTTGAGCTTATCAAAAAATTATAAAATTTTCTTACCTATCAATTCCCACTGAAACAGTAACATCGGCTCCGGTCGAATCGCGAAAAGATCTGCAAAAAATCAGTTCAAATTCAGTTTTTTTCATTTTTCCAATCGAGATTATTATTTTCTTTGATTGTTCTTGTCAAAAACTGATAATATTTTAATTTCTCAGCCAGTTTTTCCTTCCTAAAAATTCTTGAAACTTCATTTTTTTGAAGCTGAAATGACCCTTTTTTTAGAACCCACATGCAAAAAAAGACTAGAATTCTTGAAACATCTCGAAAAACAAAGTCATAAAAAAATCCCTAGGCTTTTTCAAGAAATTAAACGATTCAAAAAAATATGTTTTTTTTAACTGCCTAAAATGAACCATTTTCCAAATTTAAGAGAAAAAAATTTGGAGAGAATATCGATTTTTCTGGCCCAACTAACATGGAAAAGTTTTGAAAAAAAGCATTTTTTTTCTTTAATAAAACCCAAAAAAATTAACCTAACAAGAGCCTCAAGTTCCAGGGCGAAACGACAAAGTTTGACGGCGTGTTGGGAATCGATTCCAGGAACCGAACAAATCGCCGTAATTCCCTCCGAGGCAACTCTAACGCATCCATTCGCAGCGATAAGCCTGTCGATCCGAACTTCGAGCTCCTGGAAATCGAATTTTATTCTGGAAATAACAAGGCCAAAAGAAAGAAAAACAGAAAAATAATGATAAGTACTTTTTGATTAGAGACCCGAAAAAAACCTTGAAGAGCAATGCATAATTTATATATAGTAGTAACACGCCTAGGATTGTTTCAAAACGAAGTTTCGGTGGTACGAAAAAAAACACCAGCGAAAATTCAAACGGCAACTTTTCCGATTTTTTCATATCGCTAGGGAACTTTCTGACGGCCACCTTTCCGCCGATTTTTTTATCCGACTTTTTTTCTTGATAAAATCTTTGTTTTAAATCTTCCTATATAAAGTAGGCAAGTTATATATGATTAAAAACACAACGAAATAAGAAAAAAAGTTGATAGGTTTTATAAACCAAAAAAATATAAGGGAGAAAAGTCGGAAAAATCGGCGGAAAGGTGGCCGTCGGAAAGTTCCCTAGCAATACGAAAAAATCGGAAAAGCCGCGTTATGAAATTTCCCTGGCTTTTTTTTCATACCATCGAAGTTTCCCTTGAATTAAACAAGACTTGAATAAAACACTTTAGAAACTAAAAGGAACTTCGAAAGGAATTTTCACAAAAATTAGAAAAACGAGTTTTATTTAAAAAAAAACTTTGGAAAAGAAAAAAATGGGAAAATGTGATGCCGTGTTCAATTTTGCCGTGGGATAAAGCGCATGGCGTTTGCAGAAAACATTTTGATTTACGACTAATGAGTAAAAAAATGTCGGAAAAATTGGCAACATTATAATTTTAAACGCTTAAGGAAGTTTTTTTATTAACGCTTTGTTGCGCAACAATCTGCGTGCCTGTCTAAGGTCCACAGGGTCACAAGTTCGATCCCGGTCGCGATCCAACTAAGGGTTTTTTGAAAATTTTTGATAGTGGGAAGCCAAAGACTAACTACCTCATCAATCAATAAACTTCCTAGTATCTTTCGAGACATAAAATATTTTACAGAAAAAAAAAGATAAAAGGAACCTTCAAAACCCTGGCAGCATCGATGGAAGAGCACTGCGACAGTACCGATTCGAAGCCGAGAAGTCTACCGTAAGCTACAGTAACCTGGAAAAGATTTGAAATTCGGTCAGGAAGGACCTTTTTGACTTTTAGGAGTGGCCAAATATATTGAAAGGGAAAAAATATCGACTTTAACAATTTCCTGATTTTCTTCTTAATTTTCTTCCCTTTTTTCTTGTATGCCTTGAGGATATATCATTTTTAAAATGGAAATCTAACCTGTGGATACGTTTCGGTGTACAAATGAGGTGTATAAAGTGTGATTTGATGTCGAGCTTGGGTTATCATGTGAAGGGGCAGGAAGGACGACAAAAGGCGGTTCTGGAAAGAGAGGCATTGTTTTCAAATTTTGTAAACCTTTCTTTAGAACAGTGAGGGGTAACGCGCCGTGAAACCCCGGAAAAAAAAGTGAAATTTTCGTTGATTTTTTCGGTGCACCCCGCGTTTGACCTGGATGGCGTGCACACCCCGGAAACCAGTCAAAAAAAAAGTCTTCTTTTAGCTACCGTAACAGCTCAGGATAAAACTGTAGGAAATGGTGATATTCGGAAATGGACCATTTCGAAATCGCGTACGGATTAAGTGCATTAATAGGCATTTGTAGCTAAACGGGGTGCTCCGAAACTTTTGTTTGAGAAGATCGTTTTTTTTTCATGCAAATCTATCATTCAGTTATATTAAATATGTTTTCAGATTTTTTAAGCTTTTTCCCTGAAACGCTAAAATTAAAATCCCTCATTCGAGTTAAAATATATAATTTATAAGTGATATGACGTCATTTTTTTCGACCCCTGCTCTGATTTTACCTTCCAAAGTAGGTCTTTTTCCGTTGTGGTAGGGATTTTTCTAAAAAATTTTCAGAATATTTCTAGTTATACCAGATGAAGATACAGAAAAGCTCAATCTTCACAACTTTCCAGTTTTCGAGGGAAGGAAACCGTCCAAAACTCCTCAAAATAGGCCGTTTTCGGACTTTGAGCCCTTATTTTCTCGAAAAATAGGAAGTTTTACAGGTTGAAAGTTTCAGGACCTTCATCTGGTTCATCACGGAGTGTTCTGACCAATTTTCATGAAATTCCCGATCCCAAAGTAAAATGACCTTCCTTCCGTCACTCCGTTCAGTTGAAAATTCATTTCTAGTTCTACCTTCTAATCATTCAATAAATCTCAGTCCCTCGTCTTAATTTTCGAGTTTTCCGGGACAAATTTCGGAACACTCAAACTCAAACAAAAGGGGAACGACGAAGTCGTTGCTTTTCGGTGGGTTTCGGGTAGATTTGGCGGGAAATTCGACTCCGCCAGTCAGTGGCTTCATTTCACAGCGGCGTCGTGATGCTTTGACACACAGAGACACACACAAAACAACCTTCCAACTTCAACAAATATTTAGATTTTTCCGTTGGGACACTTTTGACACCTTCTTCCAATTTATATAGTTCATTAAGAAATATGATTAAAAGCCAAAACGAATATATAAATTTTTAAAGAACCCATCAATTGTCAAATGGTATTATACAGTACCGTCAGAAATATACGAAAAGAACGAATTTTCGGTCACAACTTTCTTTTAAGGAATTCAATATTTCTGAAACTTTTTGGAGTTGTTTTGACTGTTACTTCGAGCACTCTGATGGAGTGTCGGTTCACAGAAAAAAAAAGGCTTAGAAACAGTTTTTGGACAAAATTTTTTAAAGGATCTCAATTTTACTCAGCCTAAAAAGAGTTGAAAAAGCCTAATTTGGAGCTTCAAGTCGTATTTCTCAGCCGCTTTAATTTTACGAATACAAACCTATTGAGTATCGATTTCCCTAAAGCTCTTTTTCAAAAATTACTTATCTTGATTAATTTTTTTACAAAAAAAGCAGCTCTCAAAAAAATTCCAATTTTTTTCTTTCAATCGAAATTAGATTACATCCCAAATCCAGTGCAAGAAGGTATATTTCCTAGAGAATCGTATCAACTTTCAATCCTTTCCCGAGAACAAATAATTATTCGAGGGTCAGGTGATCTCAAAAAGCAAAGTCCACTTAGAATAACTGCCGAGATAAGGCGACATCGCTTGCGGTTACGAACCCGCAAAATACGTTGCTCTGTCCTCGCGCGGGTCTCAAATATTCCTAGAGGCGACATCGCATTTTTTTAAGCGCGACATCGCATTTTTCTAGACGCGACATCGCATTTCACTACCCGCGACATCGCATTTCTCTGGACGCGAAATCGCATTTTTCTGGACACAATTTCGCGTTTTCCTAAGCGCGACATCGCATTTTACTACCCGCGACATTGTATTTTTCTAGGCGCGACATCTTATTATTCTGACCTTTCACACCACCTTTTCGAGTGCGTGAGAAAAGCGAGACAAACGCGATATCGCGCCTGCAAAAATGCGAGACGCGCTAACATTTTTGCGAGTTGGTCACTGTGTCGTCAACGATATCGCTTTTCTATGGACTAGGCAGCGGTTTTTTTGAAAAAAAATAAGGTTTCGGGAAGTTTAGAAAGTTCTGACCAAATTTTCCGTGATACCACGAAAATATATCATCTCAGGCCTATTTTGAAAGATTTTTTGAAAGCCGCTACGCGACCGCGCCGCGTCCCAACTCATTCTTTCTATAAATTTTTGGTTTCCGGATCCGGAAAAGGTTCATGGATAAGAGGACTGTTAATCAAATTTGCCATATACAGTTGTTTAATGAACAAAGTCATTAAAAGTCATAAATATCGATTGAAAATCAACATCTGCTACGCGACCGCGTCGCCTCACAACAAATTCTCCACCCTTCTCCCCAAAATCATCCCTTGAATACCCTGTTCCCAAAACCCACCAATCGATTGCTCTGGAACTCGGCCGAGTGTTCGGCTTCGGTGGCATTCCGGGCGGACAGGAAAGCGGATCGGCCGAGTCGATCCGTGTTCCGGTGCAAATAAACGCCAACGAAATGGGTCCACAAGTGCAGGACTACCATTGCGAGGACCTGGAAGAATTGGATGAAAATGTGATTTTTCAGAACAATACGTCTCAAAATGTCTTAATAAAAGATTTAAAAGAATGATTTCTCGACTGCTATTCCTTGTTGGCTGGTCACGCTTATTTCCCGTCAAACTATCGGTAATTGAACTATTCAAAAAGTTTTTCAATCCCCTTATAGAATCATTTTCTTTTTTTTTCCGAAGGATGCTCCAGCGACCACGACTTCTCATTGGCTGGCCACGCCCCTTTTCTGTCAAACTATCTATAAATGAACAGTTTAACAAGTTTTTCGAATTCCTTATAAAATCATTTTCTTTTTCTCCAAGGACGCTCCAGCGACCACGCATCCTTATTGGCTGGCCACGCCCCTTTTCTGTCAAACTATCGGTGAATGAACTATACAACAAATTTTTTAAAATTCCTTATAAAATCATTTTCTTTTTTCTAAGGACGCTTTAGCGACCACGATTCCTCATTGGCTGGCCACGCCCCTTTTCCGTTCAACTATTGAGCCATTTTTTTCCAAAATCTTTATAGAAACTTAACCTTCCCCCCGTCATTTATCGCTTTTCTAAACTTTTTAATGAAAAGTCTTGAAAACCAGAAAATCTTCCCAACACACCTGCCCGCCCAGGTGTCGTTATTTTCATCAAGATTTCGTCGCGAGGTCATTTTGGAGGGATAAATACATAAATCACTAGTGAAAATCGACGCCGTTTGTTGTTTTCAGATAGAAGATTCATAGAAAAATTAGAAAAAGTCGAAAAAAATTTATAACAAAAATCGCCTCGGAAAATCTTCTTTAAAGCCGGAAATGCGCTCCAGCGAACACATTTTTATCTGGCGATAAATGGACTTATGTACAAAACTCTTCGGAAAACCTCATGAAAACTCAACTGTTCCCCTTTTCCGCAGAAATAGCCTCCGAAAATCTTCCTCAGAGCCGAAAATGCGCTCCAGCGGACTTATTTCTAACTTGTCGATCAATAAACTTCCATACAAAACTCTTCGGAAACATCATAAAAACTGAAATTTCTGCTAAAAACCTCCAAACCCCTTCCAAAAAAAGTATGAAACCACTCACAAATCCCCATATTTTGCGAGATTTCGGCCCAAGATTATTATTATTATTATTACTATTTTCGTGTATGAATTCACAACAACAGACACGAAAAACAAGCATTTACGATGATAATGAGTGGCGACGCGAAATCCCACGGACCAAATAAAAAACTCGTTTTTTTATCCCTCTTTTTGATGATTTCATACGTTATAACAATAGGATATACACTAGGAAAAATCAAATCAATTTAAAAAACGAAAATGGACTTAAAAATCAACGGATTCTTTCAAAATTGGATCCAAAATTCAGCTTTAGAAAAATTCTCGATCCTCTGAAAAAAGGGACATTTTTTTCATAAAGCACTGATTTCTGAACACCTTTTAAGCGTACAAAAAGCTGCAAGGGGAAAAATAGCCTTGGGGAAAGGAGTATATTCGCTCCAAGGGTAAATTCCCTCAAAAAACTATTCTAAACATTAAAATTGATTTTTTTTTTTCAAAACGATGCCCTTAGAAATTTATTTTTGGGGAAAGAGCCTTGTGAACTCGTACTTGAGCGTTCATTTTTTTATAATTTTCGATTTTTTTAAAACTGAAAAAAACTTAAGTCAATGAAAAAAATATTTGAATGTCTCAAAGACGGTGGAATGAAAAAATAGCCTCATGGCACTGGATTTTTGCGCTCCACGGACAAACTCCTTGGAAAATACCTACATAAAAGTGAAAATAGGTGGGTTTTCCCGTTTAAAAGAGATCACTTTTTAAAAAATTAGAGTGAACACTAAAGTGCCTACTATTTTGCGTCTTAGTGGCCACTATAGTATTTTTAATCGTCCAATAGCAACAACTTCTAGAGTGGCCACTAATTTATAAATGGTCTACATTCCGAAGAAGTTGAAATGAAAAAACAGCCTCATGGAACTCGGTTTATGCGCTCTACGGATAAATTTCTTGGAAAATCGGTTTTTACCTCGTTTTAATCAGATCACCTCTCAAAATATTAAAGTGAACACTAGAGTGCCTACTACTTTGCGTCTTAGTGACCACTATGGTAGTTTTAATCGTCCAGTAGCAACAACTTCTAAAGTGGTCACTAATTTATAACCACTTTAGTCGCCACTAATTGACATTTATACTGACTATTAAAGGGTCAAAACCCTGAAGTGTCCACTAAAATTTTCCCATAATTTCAAAACTCTGACCAAAAACCTCTGGTCTACATTCCGAAGAAGTTGAAATGAAAAAATAGCCTCGAAAAATCGGATTTTGCGCTCCACTGATAAGAACAGCCAGACTTGTCCAAATTTGGTCCTCGGTGACGCAAAAAAAACGCTTCTTATTTTTTCTAGTGATCACTTTAGCGGTTTTCAAGTGGTCCCTAGGAAAAATCTCAATACAGAAAAATTAAAGTTTCCCACTTTTTGTATGAAACTCATTCCAAAAAATCCCCTGTCGATTTTAACTCATTTCCCCTCTCGAAGACTAATTTCTCCAACGTATTTTCCCTGCATAAAGTGCTTTGACCTTGGCTTAAACTTGGGCGTTTTCCTGTCATAAAATGAGGAAAACAAGTCATTTCAGTGGGGACAAACGTTTGACGAAAACGAGGAAAAATGAGAAGACTATTTGATTTAATTGTGAAAATCTTTCAACGAGATACAGTAGAAAAAGCTATGATTATCTTTATTTTAACAGTACGTGGAACGTATCAACCGCTGGTTTTGAACAATTCTTTCCTTTCGGAAAATTGCTTCAAAAATGCCTTTTTTTGATAAAAAAAAAACTTCACGTTTTTCCAATTTTGAAGGGTTCCAGGAAATCGACATAGTATTTTATACCTTTTTGAGGACTGCTAAGCCTCCGACCGTAACTGAACATTTTTCAACGAAACCTTTTTCGAATAGTTTTTTCTATGAACTTTGCTATGTTCAGATTCGCGTATCCTTCAAATTCTCAGATTTATTTCGTTTTCCCGTAATTTTTTCTCTTCACAATTGTCCAGTTTACACTCCAAACTACACGATAAACAAAGATTTTGCCATTTTCAAGCCGATGAAAGCTTTGAAGCCTTCTTAATTCTAAATAATTCTAGGCAAAACTGATTTTCAACAAGGATATATGAAATTCTTTAAAGCTCTTGTGTTTTTTTCTGCATCTACCGATTAAAAATTCCAGCTTTTCCCTCGAATTTCTTCTCAAAACCCGAAAAAAAGAAGATCCATCTCTCTTTTTTCACTTTATATTTTATGAGACCATTTCTTTCCAGCTTTTCTGCACCTGCAAGCATTCAAAATCAATCGTTTCTCTAGGAAAATCTTTAAAAGAAGAAAAAATTGTGTGTTTATCAGTGTCTGGAACGGTTGTAACATGATATTTGAGTGTGGGGAGAAAGAAGAAAAGTTCAAGTTTTCAGGGAAAATCTCAAGGTCCAACTTTAGGGTTGAAGAGTTTATTTGAGCAGTAAATCATGAGAAAATTGGCTTTTTTCGTTTTTGAAAAATTATGTAGAGTAGTTAACACACGTTCTCTGAGATTTTCAAAAATCTCTTGGTACAAGAATTTCAAGTTGGTTCTTCAGAGCTCGTTTTGCTATCAGATATACTACATAACCTCTTCAACTCATAACACCTGGTTTTTAGAGGCTCCGCCCACTTTCAGGGTTACGGTAGAGAAAATACCATAAAAAGCTAACTTTTTTCCTGGTGGAGCAAATTGGTTCAAACCAACTTTAACGTAAATGATATGCCATTTTGAGCGTTTTTTGTGTTGATAGCGACTTCGGGAAAAATTTCCTTCCTCCAGAAAAAAATCGATTAATTTTGAAAAATGACGATTTTTCGATACTTCTGTGTTTTTCTTGGTCAGGAACCCCCGATGCCGTGGATTTTTATTTTCTTAATCGACGTATTAGGGTCTTGTGAGTATGGAAAAAATAGCCGCCTAGCTTTTTATGGTATTTTCTCTACCGTAACCCTGAAAGTGGGCGGAGCCTCTAAAAACCAGGTGTTATGAGTTGAAGAGGTTATGTAGTATATCTGATAGCAAAACGAGCTCTGAAGAACCAACTTGAAATTCTTGTATCAACAAATTTCTCAGTTCATCGATTTTCTCGGAGAACGTGTGTTAAAGAGTATCGAAATTAGATCTATATGGAATAACATTTTCATATTGACCTTGTGTTACAGTAAACTCATTTTCATCGGATGTTTCACAATAAAGTAAGCCAAAGTCTCATTTTTTTAAAGAAAAAAACTTCATAATTTTTTTCTAAAATTTAAAAAAATTTTTTTGGATCCTATCCTCGATTTGAATCCGATCTCAACTCTCAAACAAACCTGGCCATGCTAAAACAAGAAAAACCGGGCCGCCATTCATTCGGTTCCCTTTTTCAAAAAGAGAAAAAGGGCACCGACGTTGACCCTAACACAAAAAGGAGCCAACTTTTTTCGGTTTTTGAAACTTGGATGGATGAAAATTTAACTATACAATAACTATACATACAAATTTCAAGAAAAATCATGGCCCCCCAAGAATTAAAAAAATACAGTTTGAAATTAAATTTAAGTTTTTTTATTTTTTTGAAAAAAATTTCGAGTATTCAAAATGAAAGCCCGCCAAAAATACACATGACCTGTATCGTTCAAAAATCAGAGACCAGTTAAAAACAGGAGGGACCAGACACTTGGAGAGAACAAAACATTTCTCAATATCTCTATGTTTTCCACACTCCTAACCCTCCAATCTTTAAACTTGAAGCAAAACAAGATCTATTCAAAAAAATATTCTCTTTTTCTTTTCAGAATCGTTTCTATGCCGTAAGTACCAGCTATTCCATCAATATTTTCCCTTAAAGGTCTATTTTTCAAGCCGTCAGATCTATCTCTAAAACCGCTTCTGAGCTGAAAAGCTACCGTTCAAAAGTCAAAAACTCAA